CCCAACGCATCTTCTCATTTTTCCCTTTAGAGATTTTGTGGCAAAATTCTGTACTCCAGTTGAAATTTCACCGCAGTTGCAGGCAAATTCCACAAGCGCTTATTTTAAAATTAAGACAAAACAAAAGTATCACGATTTGTTTATAGAAACCGTTTTAACTTGGAATACCATAAAAAGAACGCATACCAAAATGGCGACATTGCTTGACTGAAGAAATGGGTACTCTTCTGTTATATGGACCGTATTTAGAAATGTGTGTAATGTATGCATGTATGTGGATGGATGTGTTCACGTATGTGTGTATGTAAACACAAACAGATGTACATATATGCATGCATATATGATCACATACATCATACATACATGCATACATACATACATTTCTGAATCCGGTCCTAATAGCAGAAGAGTACCAAGGATTGTTTGGTTCCCTGATGATTGGTTATCAGCATGGTTGCCAGAATTTGGCACTTTGGAAAATTTGGTGACTTGTTTTGAGGTAGTAGCGATAACACATAAGTACCAAAAATTTTTCATGATTCCTGAACTTATTATCATTTTAATTTTTAATAAACTGCATCTGATTTAAAGTAAAGTGAACTTTCTCTATGACCACCACTTACTGTTCCAGGTAATTTTGATTTTATGTAAAGGTCGTAGAAGGAGATCATCATGAGAGATTTCGCTGTACAACTTGGTAAAATTACAATGGTTAATATATAACATTCCTCAATAATCTGTGGAAGCCTTTGCATTTGCCATATCATTGAACCAATCATCGCTGTCTCTGAAAATACTTTGTAAAATGTCTCAGTATTTCGTTAGTATTACCTTTTTCAAGTGGCTACCGCGATTAACTGCCAAAATTTGCAAATTTTACTGTGATATCTGTAACTTGCAAATTATTTAATTCTAAGGCTCAGTTGCCAAAGTCTTATACCATGACCACTATAAGAAATAAGTATCGTTTCTTTCAGCATATAGCTATAACTAAAAGCACTTTTTTCTTTAAGTCGTCACTGGACTATTTTGCCAAAATTGTCAAACTTAATTAACAAATTTATTGCATGAAACTTGTTGGATTTCAAAAGATTAGTCTCTAGAATGTTGCCAAATGTGAATGCTGTGGTTGCTTTAATAAGGAAATATCTCTTTATTATAGTGGTGATTAGTAATTAGTATAGCAAGTATATTGATGGTGATCAGGACTCTTCATCATCCTGTTCATCAAATTGTTTCAGTGTGTTTTTGTTAGGTTATGTGTTAACAAATGGCAAATAAAAACGACATTTTTTTTTTTTTTTTTTAATCTAAGGAGAATGAATAATACAGTACAAAGTCCGTAATCCGGACTCGTCGGGACTTCGGCGATTCTGGATTAGATGTTTTCCCGGATTATAGGTCATCAATTTAAATCTGGTAAGATGGCATGCAGAAATTATACAATTAAAAATATGAAACCGTAGTTTATGAAATAAAGAGCAATTATGAGCTAAAGGGTATCAAAATTTACAAAAAAGTCTTAATACTTATTTGTTTACTTTATTAAATATTTCTTTCAGGGTAAGTTGTTTAAGAAGCTTCGTTTTTTGTGCTAATACTTTCTCTTTAATTCTATCTTCTATAAACAGACATAATTTCTTGTTCAGTTACAAAGTTCCACTGTTCAAATCCTGTAATTACTATGTCGAGAATATAACTTGTCAATCGAAATTTTTTCGTTTTCAGTAACCTGTCTGTCACTTTCTTCACATCGGAAGCGCGCATGTGTAAACGCTTTACTGGCTTTATGCGCATGCGTAGCGGACGCGCGCATCAAACACTAAGAGCATCAAACGCGAATGTGTAAACGCCTTACGCGCTGCGTAAGTTTGTGGCTTTTAGTTCTGGATTATAGATCATTCCGGATAATGGACGTCCGGGTTACGGACTTTGTACTGTAACAAAAAACAAATATCCTAAATGCGTCATTTTTAGATTTTATGTGATAATAAATGAGTTCCTCGAAAAGGTCATCCTTAAAAGTAAAAATTATGTGCACCACATTGAAATGATCATTCGGGTATCTGAAGCAAATTAAGGACTTCTTAATTCTTGCAAAATTTGTATGAGAAAAACGAAAATAGAACAATATAATGCAATGAATAAAGAATTATTTTGTGTATCTTCCAGAAGATTTGTAACAAACGTATGAAAATGGGAAATTTGTACTAGTTCTATTTTTAATGGATCTTTTGATATGCTTCTTAATGGCATGCTTTGATAAGGACATCTGTGACTTTCAAGAACTGGTGTTACTTTGGTAGACGGTTGCACGGATTTTTGGCGATTTACGTTGGCGCAATGTTGGCGCGGTTTTTACAGTCGTCAGCCATCTTGAAAAAAGCTGTTTTTACGTATTTTACGAATAGTAAAGCATTCGAAACTTTAAAAAAATAAATATCGTTAAAAATAATGGATTATTTTTTTGTTGAAAACGTTGTTTTTTAAGATGGCTGGCAAATGTGAATAAATACATTTACTAAGACAAAATGCTAAAGAAAGATTAAATTATTACTTTCATATATCAAAGAAATAGAATAAAAACATTGTGTCAACGTTTAATTGGATTCAAATATTACTTAAATTGAATATCGAATTAAAATCACCATATCAATGTTTAAAAGCATTAAAATATTACTTAAATTCAAAAACTTTAAAATAAGTTTTATAGGATATAATTATTTAACATTAAAACATATGTGGCAATAAAGTTTTTATATCGTGTCAATTTTTTGAAAACAGTGTATTACTTTTTTAATAGAAATTGAAGCATGGCGAGATTATAAGTAAAAGAAACGGAAATAGTACCTTACATTTTTTTTAGTATTTTACCAGTCGTATAATGTTAAGTACCACAAAAAAATCGGAATCATAACTCAGATATCAATGAAAAAAATCTGTCGGTAAAAAAGGAGGAATATCTAATACTTTTTTTTACCGTTACAGAGGTTATTTCTTCCACCGTGACCACAATACCATATACGGCTGTCCTCAGAATCGGCTCTTTTAACGATCTTCATCCTGTGATCCACATCTCTCGCACTTCATTGAAGAAGCAATTAGCGAGGTTTCCTCCAAAAAATTTAAATAAATTTCCTCTGACCCTTGTGACAATTTATAAATAAATTTTTGATTAGGAAAGCCAGGTTGTCCAAAATAAGGTCTCAAAGAACAATTTTTTGATTCCAATACCAATAATTCCTGGTAATTACCAATAACAACATTCATCTTGAACCAGACATATCCATTCGCTTTGGAATCTAAGGAATTCGAAGAGATGAATAATAAAATATGAAATGGCGCAGTAATGCACAAATATTCAGTAATCAATCAAGGGGCTGATTACAGCTCGTTAATGCACAAATATCTTGTAACCAATCAGGGAGCTGATTACATCACGCCTAGAATTAAAATTATTTAAATAGTCAGACATAATAAAATCATTTTAAAAATGCAATATTAAATTGTATTTTAATATTTAACAGCCATAAATAATGTTTAAAACATTAGATAAAATTTATAGATATTAAAACAAATTACTTTTAAAGTAAGGTGACGTCATTGAATACATCATCCACAACATAAAAATTATATAAAATAGCGTAAACAATAAATTTTTTACTTAAAATAAAAATGCAAAATTAAATTGGTTTTTAATATTTAGAAGCCATAAATAATATTTAAAACACAGAATTTATGCATAATAAAACACATTATTTTTTAAATAAAATGACAACAAAGTATCGGTAACCATAAATAACTTGTCAAGAAATGGGTTTACCATAAATCGTGTTGCTGTTCTCAAAAATTCACCAAAATCCGTGCAACCGTCTACCAAAGTAGCACCCAAGAACTGAATTTAGCAGTAGCCTTAAAATTTACATTTAATGTCTTTTAATTTATTTATAAACTTGACAGTTTCATTGAAATCATCTGAAAATTGAAAAAAAACTTATAACAGTATTATTTCATATTTTAAATTTTTTTAGTTATTATTGAAGAATAAAGGTTTCCTTAAAAATAGCTAATTATATAAATTTATAGAAATTTAGCCATTAAATTTGCTCTTCTGTGAAAACTTTTTATTCCTGGACCTATATCTGATAACTTTAGATATTGATAAAGCTTTAAGTAAAATTTATGCCAGTTACAAGTTGCCTTTTTTTGGCTTACCTGCAAACATGCTAACTTGTGTACAAATCTCTTTATTTAATTATACCAGGCCATAACATGTGCCAGTGCTTATATTTATATATATTTGCTATGGGAAACTTTATGAGAGTATTGAATTGCTGTATTTCACTAATATTTCCCACTTGGTATATATTTGATTTTTACCGCATATAAACTGCTGATGACTAAAATGTATTTAATATACTAAGAGATACTGCCTCCTTATAAAAAAGTTCTATTTTTAAAATTATGTTAAATTATTTTTTAATTAAAGTGTATTCACCTTTTACCTTTACTGTCTTGGCAATTTATATTGCCTTGTTTGAGGAATGTTATGCATTATCCATCATAATCCTAATAAATTATGCAGTGAAACCTCTGTTGATAATCACTTTCCATACATGACCACCTTTGAAAATGATTGGCCTTTGAAAATATATTGATAAATTATTTTTGACACCTAACATCGTTTCTGTAGAATTGTTTTCCATAACCTTCCACAAAAAGATCAAACTCATTTGAAATAGCAGGTGATAATATAGAAGAGGTTTCACTCATAATGGCAGGTAATAATATAGAAGAGGTAAAGTAGAAAAATTTTAAGGGAGTATATCGCTGTTGTTAATTTTTGTTCCAGAATGCATTTAGATATGCAATTCATGAGGGATGGGTGAGAATCATTTTATTTATTTATTGCTCTAAACAGTATTGAGATGAATTATTACAATAATGTATTATTGAAATTAATTATTATAATAATGTATGTCATTACTCTGTCATTGTAGAATCGTTGTAGCCAAGTGCAGCAACGATCGGATAAAATGGAGATGGAAATGATTGAAGCTAGAGTGTATAGAACTCCAGAACTTAATGGAGATCTGTCAGATGATGATCTCGAAGGTAATTATCAAATTTAAAAACATTTTAAGCAAAAAAATTTTCCATTTTAATTGTTTGCCTCTGTTTAACCATGTCCTATATAAAATGGTTATTTCTTTTAGGGTTTAAATTGTAATAAGAGTGAATACCAATCTAATTTCCTCTAACACCCCCCACCCCCCCCCCCCAAAAAAAAATTATAAAATAAAATATTAATATAATTTGTCTAGACAAGATGTTTCCAAAAGATTGAGTGATGAAATATCTCATCATTGGTATTGGTTATCAAGCCAGGTTTCCAGTTAACAAAGTAAATCAATTAAGATAAGCTTTCAGTTCATGGTAAGTTTAGTTTCATGACATCTTTCATGAAAAATATGCAAAATTTAAAAATAGATCTTTTTCAACAAATTTCCGATTTGAAATTAGGCAAAAAAGAGGGCAGTTGGTCTGTTCCTTTTCCAGTCTGAAAATTCTGATTAGTAAATATTCCCTATCCTATTAAAGATTTTTTGAGGAAAAACCATTGGTTCTATAATATGCAGAATTAAAATTTGTATGCGATTTCATCTGTAGACAAAAATGAAATGAGAACTTTCGGTGGTTGTTTAAAATTTGAATTTTATTGGATGCAAAAATTTTAAATTTCATTGTTTCTAGTAATGACATGCCATGGTGGTATTGTCCAGTATACTGTAACATAGCTCAAAATTATTAATCTCTGCCTATTTTATGCTAGATGGATTCCCTCAACAGTATAGTTTGTAGATGCTTCTTTATCCAAGATATGCAGATTCAGAGCTTAGAAAAGTATTTTTCTTCTTCCACAATTTTTGATGTGATTTCTGGCTCACATGATTTTTCTTTATTACAGTAGTATTTTACATATGGCTTACAACTTAAGTCACAATATATTACAAAGTTTGCATTTTTGTAATGCTTCCTGTTGATTGTAAGTTAAGTAAATCTTTCCATTAGTAGACACTGTTAGGACCAAGCCATTGCTTCCTTTTTATCTAGAAGTACTTCCAAAATCCTGTTTCATACCTTGCTTCACGAATTGGTGATCTCTCTCTTCAATAATCCCAATCCGTTAAATGGTGTATCTCTGTTCATATAGTTTCATTTTTGTATGTATCAAGGGAATTTTAAACTGTTGCTTCTATATTATTGTTTCTGAAATAAATGATGCTTTTTTTTAGAAATTTTTGTATTTTAATGTGCATAGCTATCTTTAGCAATATTTGCAGTATGAAAAAATAATTCTTTAATTTAATAGAGTTTAGGTTATGCCATATTAACTGATTATAAATGATAAATTAAAAAATTTGCTTGTGTACTCATGTAACATGTAAATCTGTAAAGGAAATAGAATTTGCATGTGAAATGTTTTATGCATGCATACGTATAAAAAGTTGTGGCAAATTATTGCTTCAAACAAAATTTGGAATTTTCATGGCACTTTAGCAAGGTTCATCAGTTACAAAGTGGAACAAGCAAAGCTCAACCTCCATATCAGTGCTCTAGTAACAGTCTAAAAGTCAAACATGCTACTGGATGGCAGTGACTTTATGTTATATATCTTTTTTTATCATCTTAATTTGTACTGGATAAAACAGGAGAGAATTTATCAATTATTATATGTTGCATTAATATAGAATCATTATTGCCATTGTGAGAAAGATATTTTATTTCCGGATGCTCATGCATTACATGGTGACAAAAAGAAATAAGGCCACATTTGGCACATGTGTGGCATTGCCTTTTCAAACTTAAAGAATAAACTTCTCTCATTTTCACTGGATTTTGTCATAGACTTGCTCATTACTTGTTATAAAAAAATTACTATTTTTTACAGCATAATTTAAATCATCAGATGTCTTAAAAGGAAAAGGATGACACACATTAATGGCAGGAGAGAAAGACAACACAAGGTTGCGCTCTCCCTTCATATCTGTGTTAACCCTTTGTGATACAGTGTGTGGACACACTTAAAAATTTCCTTCTGTACGCACAGAAAAATTGAATGAAAAAGGATTTATGTTACTCTGAACCTTCTTTATTTATAGTAAATGGCAGCTAAACACAAACCAATCATATATTTTACCATGTTTAGTTTTTTAAGACCCTCATTTTTCAAAGACGTCTTCAAGTTTTTTTTTAGGGTATGAAAGGAATTGTTTGAAAAGAAATTTTCTGTTATTTTTTGGCTTAGGCTAATCTCCTATTCTATATTAGTTTTAAATTTTACCCTTGAAATCTTGCCTAAAATCAAAATGGCGAACCCTAATTTGCCCAGACTGGGCTCACCGATAACTAGACCACTGAGTCTTTATTCTTTGCTTCTTCGCATCTCTCGGTCAGTCATTGCAACAATGCTTATTTCAGCACTCTTTTCAAAGCTCTATTCATTCAGTGTGCCCACTTTGGGCACACCCACAGAATTAAAAGATAACTGCTATCTTCACAAAATTTTACTTGTGTACTCCTCTAGGCCTAATTAGACTGCCTACTTTTTTTTTTAAATCAAAACACCGACTTTTAAAGGTAGTGTGCCGGAAAGGGTTAAAAACTGATTCAACAAGAAACTTTCTTCATGACAAAAAATGATGAGGATGAAAGCAGAAAAATATGTGGCTTGTACTCATAATTTGTATTTGGTCCATAAAGTAAAATACCATGGCAAATTTAGCAGAAAAGTGCTGCTTTTGTATGGCAGTTTGTATGGTTTTGTTTTGCAGTATCTAAGGCTGAGATTTCCAAGACTATTTGTTGTTCAGTAATGCAGATTTCAACTTGTATTCACAAGACCTAGCTGCAAGTGACTTTCATTTTAGAAACTGAAGCAGTTTTTGTGTGATTTATATTATACAAATGAAGATGATTATTTAAACAGTGAGTTCGGAAATGGTTTGAAACTTTTTTTTTTTACTCGTCTTATGCTGAAAGGATTACTTTATTAAATGCCTTGAAGTTAAAGGGATAGGTTATCTGAATATGGCAAAGTGCTCGAGGACTATATGCCTTTTCATGGAGGATTTTATTCACATTACACATGAACACCAAACATGCAACCAGCTCATTCACCTGGATTCAAACCTGAGTCGAACGTTATTCAGCTGTCTTAACTGCTTGCCACTGAAAGGCCTGAAGTCAAAGGGAACAGTGTAGAAAATTGATGAAGTAATTTTAGACATTTATCTTATAAATATCAGCATATAAAGTTTAACACTTGTTGACATATAATAAGGTGTAATCTTAAAAAAGCTGAATCATTGGTGAGTCTAAAAACTTTTGTTTTTAAAAGGTAAAAATTTTCTCACTTATTCTTTTAATCTTCATTACAATCTATTATAATCATAGAAGCCTAATGAACAAAAATATTGCACCATTAAAAAAAAATCATTGATTCCATATTGTAGCAGCCGCCAAGACTGAATCCCTAATCAACTGAAAAATCTCTCCATATGTTCTTACTTTAGTATCATGTTTCATTTTTGTGAATGTTTTCGAATTCACTTTTTTTTTTTAAATTATTATTATCATTATTATTCCTTACTTTTTTATAAAAATGCAGCTAACAGTCTTTAATTTACCAAATAAAGAGGTGGATGTGATGTTTTTTCAAGAAAGAGGTCTTTTATCTGAAAGCAGGCATGCAAAAGTGGCCACAACACAAAAATTATATGTTAACGATGAAACCATTTGAAGATTCAATGTTAAAAATTGTCATTGAAGAAGGGCCTTTGTGTTGAAAATTGGTTCAATGGCTCCAAAATATCATTTGTCACTGCCATTAGATTTATGTATTCTTGGGCACGTGAGTTGATGTCCTTCAAAAAGTATGACAAACAGCTTAATATATGTGAAAATGCTGCATTTGATTGGAACAATTATATGCAAGAAGTGTGTTCCTTACATCTGATTCAAAAATTCAATGGTTAGTAGGTGGTCCCAGTAAAATAGCTGAAAATAATGAAAGTTTGTCTGGCCCAGTTGGTATAGTGGTCAGAGAAGCTGACTGTGATGCCGAAGGGCCTGGGTTTGAATCCCGGAGATGGCATGTTGTAATTGTCCGTCCCTTCATAGGAAAGGTGATGGTGGTCCACCTATAAGGTGCCTCCAAAATAAAGAGAACATTCTCCCACAACAGTTGATTTTTGGAGGAATCTGCTGGGAATATGGTGAGTGCTTTTTTTAGTCCAAAGGGATTTCAGTCCCGAAGGACTATTGCTTTCGTTTTGGCATTTTGCGTCGGACTCATAAACGTCGGTTCACTTTTCAAACTGTTGCCACAAAATTTAGAGTCCTGCATTATATTCAAGAAATAAATAATGAAAAATCTGCATAAATGATTGTCTATTTCTCGCATTGTGATTAAAACATGGTACATAGAGCCATCGAATTTGAATGACGAAATCCTACTCCTACTGCGAATATGGCATCTGAAATCCCAAATTTGGAATTGTTTTTATTATAGATTTTATATTTTGTAAAACTTTAAACGAATTTTTGATTTACAAACTCAATGCTTAAAAGCGAGAAATGGCAACGTTATATAGAAAAAAAATACTTTTATCTCCAGCTCGCGAGACTGTGTATATCGGAAATTCTAAAGATATGCTTAATTTAACATTATTTTGCGATATTGCTCTTGAACTGAATTTTATGGTTTAAGTGCAAAGAACATGATATTTAATAAATAAAGGTAACACTCAAAACGTTAAAAAAATGCCCCTTCGGACGTAATTTAAAATCTGAAAAATTTCCGATTTTGTTTTGTTTTGTTGTTGTTGTTGTTGTTGTTGTTGTTGTTCATATCTCGAATAGAGATATCGTACACTTATGGAGAAAATTATTCAACATGTGCAGGATGGATCAATGATCTCGGGGGGGAAAATGATGCTTTTGATTAATTGTTGAGAGCAATTTCGGAAATATGGCGTTGTGATAAGGATTATTGAAAATATTTTTCAGAAAGAACATGAGAATATTATTGTTGTTATTACATACTGTGTCATTAATTTTTACATTTTTCACTTCACGAAGTCATGGCTGAAATCTTGGTGCAATCCTAAGGTCGTCAAATAAGGTCGAGTACCACTGTAATAAGGAAGTACCAAAAAATCTCGTGGATAAATAAAATAAATTATGTATAATATAAAGAACAATTAGAGGATGCATATCTTGCTGCTTAGCTAGTTGTTTAAGAATTTTTTTGCTGATATTAATGTCAAATTTATGCAGGAATAAATAGAAAGCTAATAAATAGTCTTTAACAGCTCATTTTGTACATTAATTGCAAAAATTACTCTGTCTTTATAGGTTTAACAGAAAATATATAAAAGTGTAAAAAATCAACACAAATACAGTGTTGATTTTTTGATAAAAATACACAAATACAAAAAATTTATACTAATATTGCAACATTAGTATAATTTTTTTATACACTAGAGGACCCCCCTTTCTAATAATTTCTTTTGATCCTTGATGCGCCCACCAGCGGCCGAGCGGTAAAGTCGCTGAACACTGGTAGTTCGTCCGAGGTTCGAATCCCGCAAACGGGCTGGCTGCATGGGTGTTTTCGTGGTTTTCCCCATGTGTAACGTGTATACGAGCCAGTTTCCCTTAGAAAGTCCTCCACGAAGGCATCCCTCCTCTTAGGCAGATAGCCCTCGAGGCTTTGCCGTAATTAAATAACCTAACCTAACCTAACCTGATCCTTGATGCATCCATTAATGGAAAGTTGATAACTTTTGTTGTATTTATTGATGATGATATACCATGATAGATGCTTTATTCAGCAATGTACTTATTTGTCCTTTGAAATATGTGTATTAAAATTACTTTTATAATGCCTCTATTTCCTCACCCCTCAATTCTTAAATTAATTACTTGAATTGAACTTTTATTTATTTTTATGTTGCTAAATATCGTAATATAATTACAGGTAATAGCTCTTTATATAAGCAAAAATATGAACGAGCTGTGAGAGATATGGAGATCATGAAAAGGAGAATTCAGCAGCAACATGAAGAAGAAATGGAACAGAAAACAATGCTCAAAAAAGCCTCTGATAAAAGGGTTTGTTTCTTTATTCTTATTTTAATAAATACCTTTGTATTCCCAATCAAGCAGATTCATGAAATGTATTGCTTTTTCAAAAAGAATATTTGGTAAACAAATAGTAATGAAACTCTTAATAAATTAGTTGGCAGAAGCATTAGAAGATGTTGAGGAAGAAAGACAGGTGGCTAATCAATGGAAGAGAAAAGCTCAGAAATTGGGCTCAGAACTGCAGGATATCAGATTGATGTTAGAAGAACAAATGGCAAGAAATGGGGAGTTAGAAAAAAAACAGCGCAGGTAATAATGAAATCTAAATTATAAGAATAACTTACTTTTGAATTTATGAAAATTATGCAAGCATACTGTTGCTTTATTCGACAAATTTTCTGATCCACATTTTAACGGTTTAAAACGGTTGTAGCACATATACACTTGTTTTCTTGATAATGATGCATCACCATATACTATTCAAATCATTTCTAAAGTTCCAATAGCAGATATACCTAATTTGGAACAAAATTTAATGTTATAATATTGTTCCATCTCAAAGCAAATTTTTTTTTTACAATGTCTTCTCAGTAAATGAAAATGACTCCACTGTTTTGATCTGCAAACAACAAAACCAGCTTAAAGTGGCTTTAACAAGAAAGAGATGTCACTCTTTCTACACAATGCATTTGTTCTTTCTTTATTTTATCACTTCGTTTTTTTTAATTTGTCCAGTTACTTTCTGAGTGCATGTATGTAGTAGGATCTAAAAGGTTTGGAGACTTCGCCTATTTATGGCAGCACAAACTTACAGTAAAAGTATCTGAAATATGTTTATCATCTTCCATCTATTTAAATGATCCGAGATATGTTCTCCATAGCAGTTTACCTACACATACATTCTTAATGATGACAGAAATTCTCACCAGAAATGGTATTTAGCCTTTCTATGTTCCCATTTCCTCAATTTAACTTTATGCAAAAAGTTCTGTCCTTTGATGATACAAAATTTGAAGAGATTTCCATTTATGCCATCAAGTGAGGTAAAAACATTATCAAAGCATATAGATGATTGTAAAAGATAGCTATTATGAACGATGCTATTTAATGTGGTCATGTGTACCCATGGCTGTTTGGATAGCATTAAATAATGGGAGAAATATCTTTCAAAATAGCAATGAAATTTAATTAACTTTAAAGTATAAGGGTTCCCAAATGAAAAGTGACACGTGCGATAACGTCAGAATGAATGCATAGATAGCAGCGCCACTGCACAAGTATATAAGGGGCGGTATGATGTTATGCATCTCAGACAGCATTTAACCGTGAAACCTGTTTGTAGGAGAATAAATTGTGCAAAAGGAAAGTCGTGCTATCCATGGATGCGTCCAGATCAGAACAATGTGCGGTAGTACGGTTTCTGGTTGCAGAAGGTGAGTGTAATGCGGACATCTATCGAAAAATGGTGACAGTGTATGGTAACCACGGTGTAAAAGTTTCCATGAAGGGCGGCAAATGACATCGGATCTGCCGAGACCGAGCTAAGCAAACAAAGTGATCATCAATGATTCCATTGCCTCCGTTAATGAAATGATCCAAGCTAATCGAAGGATTATGACCCGTGAAATCAGTCACGAACTCAACCTGAGTAAAGGAACGGTTAACACCATTATCCACAAACATCTGGGGTACAGCAAAGTGTGTGTGGCATGAGTACCAAAACACCTGACCCTTGATCATCAGAAACAACGAATGGGCTTCTGTCTCCAGCACTTGATCCTGTTATGAGGATAATCCCTGCATTTCTGGATATCGTATCATTGCGGGCCACGAGACCTGGTGCCACCACTATACACCCAAATCCAAGAAAATGAGTATGCAATGGAAACACAGCTCATCTCCTCCACCACGGAAATCGAAAGCAATGATAACTGCACGGAAAGTGATGCTTTCCTTTTTCTTTGATTGTCATGAACCACTTTTAATCGAGTTCCTGCCCCAATGGAGCACTATCAATTCCGCACAATATTGCAGTACTCTGATGAAACTGCAACAAGCAATAAAAAACAAACAGCCGGGCCTTCTCACGCAAGGAGTGATCCTTCTGCATGACAATACCCGCCCATACGCCTCCCAGGAAACACATTCTATTGTCCAGAGGACCTTAAACACATTCTGTTGGGAGGTTTTGGAGCCCCTCCCCTGTACAGTCCGGACATGTCACCCTGTCACTTTCACGTCTTTAGGCCACTTAAGAGAGCCTTACAGGGTAAATGTTTTCATTTGGACGATGGAGTGAAGGAAGCCGTGCAGGACTTCTTCAGGAATCAGCCGCAATCTTTATACAGCAAAGGCATTGAGCTGCTGGCGCAATGCTGGGACCTGTCTTTCAACACCCATGGTGGTTTCTTTTGATTTACAATAAAGGTATTATTTTTCTTCAACCTGTCCACTTTTCATTTGGGCAACCCTTATATATGTAATTCGAAGAATAAAAATGCTTACTTTCAAATAATTAACATTAGGGAAACATTAGTTATTAGTTGAATTTCTGCAAGTTTTATGCTCAAGTTTATGAACTGTTTCTATTATTCCTATTGTTTCTGTTTGTAAAGCATTTACATATACTTTACCCATAATCCTAATAATTGGAGAAGGTGTCCCTTATGTCAACATTTGTAGGGAATTCACTGATTTCGCCCTAACCTTCTTTAGACAGTTTATTATATAATAGGCCTGGATTTGTTTGAGAAAGTGACTGTTAGATATCTTCTTCTGTCATCAAAGTTGCAACTTGAATTTTTTCATCAATATCTACCCATGTGTTAAATGTATCTTAATTCATGTGAGTTGTGTTTTCTTCTTCAGTTGTCTGTATTTCATCATTTATTAAAAGACTGGCATACTTAAAACAATCTTTTATTGTCTTTTTTGAGATTCAGTTCCAAGACATGTTCAACAAATGCTAATTCATTTCCTTAACATCAAAAATGTTTTAATAGTTTGTATTTTTATTGGCATTTTTAAACACTGTTACTTTCTGTTTGCCATTAAGCCTCCTGTTTGTTATTACTGTTAATATTAATACAACTTATTTTTTAAATTAAGTCGTGAAAAATAAAGGTATTGAATCTTTGCAAATTATTAGGCTTGTTGTAAAACTGATGGAAGTATCCTATTGGATACAAATTACATTATCTGTTTTGACTGCTTGTTTGCCTCAGTAGTTCATAGCAACTTTGATACAAAATCTCCTGTGCAGACAAAATGGTGTTGGACGACATATCTGAGATGGAGACTTTATTGCATCACTGATAAACTTTGTCTCCTCATATAGATAGGTCTTCAGAGATGTAGAGATGACTGCTGGGTATGCTGGCAGTATGTATTACATGGGTGTAGATGTAAAATCCTATGGAACCCTGAACCATGACGCCAGCTGGCAGACCAAGTGCAATGATTTCTCTATCCCATTGTAATGATATCTGTTTTACCATGTCATTCATTTGTGACTGTTGCCGTGCTAACTCTGCAAGGATTGAGATTCATCTGAAAAGGTAGTGTCATACTGTTTGTTTACTTGTACATGTCTGGTATTCAGTGCACAGTTGCAGTTGTCTGGTATTCAGTGCAATCTACAGACATCAGCACTTGCAGTTAATTCTGGTTCTTGCATTAGGTTAATGTTGCTGTGCGATCTATCATGCCCTTACACATATCCTGCTTGTGCTCTTTCAGTGGTGTAATAAGGCTGGTGCAATTATTTTTGTCTGTCTGATCTTCTAGCACCCACCAGTTACATAGCCACATTACTATGGGGAAGGATTGATGATAAGCATAACTACAACTCATGAAGTTAAACTAGGATTTATTTATTTACATTAGAATGAAAAGAAAAGTAAAAAGAATAATCGTCAAAACATTTTGGACATGTCTGTCCTCACTATCGTTCACGTCTCATCTTGTCTGACCACACCCTTAGCTAGAAGGCACTCTTACATAATCTTAGCTACAGTTACAGTTCCCATATAATGTGCGGAATCGAAACTTCTGACACCAAAATATGGGGAAGGATTGATGATAAGCATGACTACAACTCATAAAGTTGAACTAGGATTTATTTATCTACATTAGAATGAAAAGAAAAGTAAAAAGAATAATCGTCAAAACATTTTGGACACGTCTGTCCTCACTATCGTTCACGTCTCATTTCATCTGACCACACCCTAATCTATCTAGATGGCGCTCTTACATAAGCTTAGTTACAGTTACAGTTCCCACATAATTTAGGTCAGAAATTGTTACATCGCATTTTGAATATGTGTTTCACTTGGAATTTAAAACAAGATTTTCTGGCAGTAAATTTAGAACAATTAAAATCAAAAGTGGACCATAGGATTTTGAATCCTCTTGCAGAGAATCTAAATTTCGTGTAGCGATATCGAGCTCATCATATAACTTTCTCAAAGCTGGAACATTTGAAGAGTTTTTAACACTTAGCTAGTTTAAAAGTTTACTCATAAAAGAATCAATTATAATATCTTTTCGACCAAAACAATCTTTAAGTAACTTTACACAGTTGTCATAATTTTTATCAGTTAATTTAAAACCAGATACTACACTTAAAGCTCCTCCAGTCAAATATGTTTTTAAATAGGCAAACTTTTCAATTTTCGAAAGTGAATCATTTCGATCGATAGTGGTTTTGAACGAATTCCAGAATTCATTCCACAATTTCGGATCTCCTGAATATGGCTTGATTGTTAATTTATGAAGTTTAACTGAAGAGTGTAAATTTAAACTATCATTCGGAGTACTTAACAGCTTTTCAGATGTTAACGAGTTAGTAAAACTCTCTTTCTGTTTCAATAAGCATTTAAGTTTGTTAGTATACCTGAGACATTTTTCTTAGTAATCAGTACTAGTGTTTACTTCTTCCTCAATTAAGTTTACATCAATGAAATGTTCAACTTGACAACTTAAGTTTATTCATTTTCTCTATTAAAACTTCTAGATGTTCGTCTAAGATATCACATGTAACATTTTCATCTGCTAAGGCAACATCGATTCTTGAAATTAGGTTAGTAGTACTGCTTCTTTCAATACTATGCTTTCGTTTTAACTTTTCAAAATTTTCTTCTGAAGACATGTTTATTACTTGAAACAATTATACAGTCAAAATGAAATTGATAAATGTTAATTGCTCACCTGTGATCCTTTTAGGTGAACTTTACTAATCCAGATGGCACAATCCAGCTATGAGCATGGAATTGAAACTTCTGACACCAAAATATAGGGAAGGATTGATGATAAGCATAACTACAACTCATGAAGTTAAACTAGGATTTATTTATTTACATTAGAATGGAAAGAAAAGAAAAAAGAATAATCGTCAAAACATTTTGGACACGTTTGTCCTCACTATCGTTCACATCTCATCTCGTCTAACCACACTCTTATCTGGATAGCGCTCTTACATAATCTTAGTTACAGTTACAGTTCCCACATTACTCTAGCTTGATTGTGTTGAATATGAACTCTATTTCCTCAAAATGATAAGTAGCAGTCTCTATAGGCCATAGTTCTTATTCTGTTAGACACAGATGTAAGCTTGAATGGCAGCCATTTTTTCAACAAGCATGCAGAAGGTTCCTACATAAAGGCACAGTGGAAAATACTCAATTCCAATATTTAGTACAGCCTATTGTTCTGCCTTTTCATAGTGCTTCAAGTGGCATTTTTGATGCACATGGTTTGCATATTCATTGCAATGCTAATTATTTGCATGTCCTATTGATGTCTACACATAGTGCAGATTTCAAACCTGTTGGGTACTTCCTTCTTGATGCTACATCTTTAATGCTGAATAGTGTATAATTCTAAAATTAGTAGTGCAGTAAAATGTTGCTTATGTGTTCCCAGATTTTTTTTTCCTTTGTTATAAATGACTTTTTAAACCCTCTAAATACTTAAGTTGAAATAGTTAATGAGTAACTTCAGTTGTATGCCACTAAGTTGAACATGAATTTGATTTGTGTGTTTTCTCCTTGAGAAAAGAGAAAGAATTTTTTATCTTAGACATACATCATTTTGAAGGGAGAAAACTGTGTGCTTTTTCTCATTTCCTTGGCATCAATAACTTTTTGGATATGACGTAACTTGTCACATAAAGTGTTATTTGTGCTACATGTTACACTTTTTTCTTTCTTTGTATTGTTTAGGGGAGTAGTGATGAATGTTAAATCATTTTGGTTCTTCCAATATCTAGATATTTTATTAATGGAATCTGTGGATTAAAGAATTTATGAGATGTTTGTGACTGTGGTTTGCTATACAAATATTTTATATTTTGCATTTTGCAAATAAAATAAATTAGCAAACAAAAGACTCTCTCTTAAAAAAAATCACATATCTTTAAAGTGAACATTCTAAAATGAATCAATAACATCACTAATTTGGGGGGAAATAAATGTCTATCAAAAAAATTGGAGACCTATTTTACAAATTCATTAATTCTATTTGTCAGGCTGCAAATTTAGCGATTATTGGGCTGTGTCTAAGAAAAAGCAAAGAAATTGCAGACTGACTGAGTGTGGGATTTAAGACATTATTTTTGACGCAGTGGCTTCATAAAATTTAACATATCAGAAAGAACACTGAATATAGAATCTGCCGTTTTAAACTCAGGAATAGGTGTGCCTTTACGTAATATTTAATATGATTTTTCATTCAGTCCAATTTAAAATTTATGTGGGATTTCTCAGTTGCATGTATTTTCTTCACATTCCAACAGCAACACATAAATGATATTGTATTATTTTAGAATAAACATATTGTTTCCATTTTTATTAATACTTGTTGTATATCATATTGTTTATAAATTAATTAATTTCAGGTTTGATGCTGAGCTGAGTGCTGCACAAGAAGAAATAAAAAAGGAAAGGCTTCTTCGAGAAAAAATTACTCGAGAGAAAGAACAGGCTCTTCATGAAAAGTATTCACTTGAACAAGATGTGCAGGTAAGGCATAGTGATTGATCACCAAAATTATGTAGCCATTTTTGTATTCATCTGAGAATTAATTTTGCATAAATAAATTGTGTTATATTTTAAGAAAGTGTAGCATTGTGAAAAAATATACTTCCAAATGATTGCTTTTGTGAAATCTTCCTAATTTTAAAGCTTTCGGGTTTTATTTCAGTCTGCAAAGTTAGATTCCGACATGCTTCATGAAAAAATTGCTCAATTAAACAGAGAGCTGGATGAGTTGACACTTAGCAGTAAAGGAGAGGAGGAGGTATTTTATTAGTTTCTTTCTTTTTTTTTTTCCAACATATTATTCATTATTTATACCCTACTTATAGAGACTGTAAGGGACAGGTCCATTTTAGATAATCTATGGATGTTATTTTTAGCAGTTGGTAGCAAAAATAAATATGTATGAAGTTTCAGAAATTAATTGCAATACATATGTTTATGCAGTTAAAAAATAAGAATGCTGTTACAACATTTTCAAAGCTTAGAATCCTTACACTGTTTAACTTTATCTTGATCAAATGAATGTCATTGCAAACTAACTACTAAATGTATATACTGAATTTCAGAAACACACAAAGATAAAAACTCAAAAGATTTATTTGCTACAGTTTATAGATTTTTTCCAGTGAAGCTCTAATTAACACAACATTCACAAACAGACAATTAAAACTACATCTATAAGCTTTCATGTGGAAAACTTAATTTTAACAACAAAACAGATAAGCGACCAACTTTCACTAAAGTTCTACTTTAGGAAGGCACTTCATTGTCTTTTTCACTATGCAGCTTGCCTCTTAATATGGTGACGATAGGTGAGGCAGATGGTAAAGTCTCTTAATTATTTTTCCCCTACTTCATTTCCATTTATCATATTTAGCTTCACGAAAAGTGCAAAAATGAAGGATGGCATGAACTATAGTCTCAGATGATGTAGAAAAAATTAGTACTGTGTGGAGATGATGGCATGTGCTCTGATTATTAATAAAGGGAGGATGATAAGACATCCAAGTGCCTGTTTTAAACTAACAGATTATAGCACATCAACTAGTAATGCAAAGATTCAAGGGTTTGCTGAATCATTTGGGCACTGCAGCACTATTCTTGACAATGTACTTTGTTTAAATACCACTCTTCCTTTATTTGAACTTAACATAACTTGTATTCTGGTGAAAACCAGTAAAAAAAAAAAAAAAAAAAAATCAACAAAAAAGTAACTGATTAATTAAACATTTTTTAAAGAACACTTGTGAGTAACTGTAATAATATTAATTGATTGACTATATATCAACTGATGCACATTTGTGCTGGACCCGATGTTGGCTTATTTTACTGCTGCCATTTAACCATAACACCTATTGTAGAAGGCAGCAATTATGCCACTATTGCTATGTAATGTCCTTGAAATTGGTAAATAAAGGTGAAAATAAGGTCTGTGTTATAGAAACTACGTATTTTGCCTTCTCACTTCTGTTTTTGAAACCACTATACTGACATTTTTTCTGCGTACTCATGTTCGTATGTCACAATGTACAAAATTGTTAAGCTTATAGTATAGTTTGAATTTAATGAAAAAATTATGTATTTTGCATGCTTGACTTATCTGAGTTATCTGCAATATTGAAGTGTTTTTATCACTTCTGTTCTGTCTTTAATTTTTACATACATGTGTTTCGTAGTTTAATTCACTTTCGTATATATTGTGCTGTAAAATATTTCTCTTTTAAGGTCACCCAGCTGAAACGTGCTAAACAGGAACTTGAACGCAAAACTAGAGATCAAGAAGAAGAGCTTGAAGAACTTGCTGCACAAGTACAAATGCTAGAGCAAGCAAAATTACGCCTTGAGATGTCTCTGGAAAAAGTGAGGCAGGAACATCGTAGGGAAGCCTCTGTTAGAGAAGAAGAAATTGAAGAAATCCGAGCTAGTTTCTCGAAAAAGGTAACGTGCATGATTCTTTGAAATGGAATTCAGTAAAAGAAAGTGAACAAAAAAGTCAAAAATAAATACGTCTTTTATGACGTATTTATTTTTAGTGGGAAAGAAATAGCATATGAAACTTTCAGGTTTTATAGTACATAAAATAGGTATTTATAAAAAAAGAAAAATTTCTTTTTTGCAATTTTTACCTTTTATATGCAGTGATGCCAAATATGCAAATGGCGTCATTTTTTAAAATTTAGCATTATCTTAATTTTAAACAAATATAGCTTTGGCATATTAATAATAAAAGCAAGCATTTGAAAAATAAAGCAGATGAAATTATAATGATAATGTTAGTATCTTAAGCATGTAATGTTCAGATCCCTTGTGATATTTATTTCTAATGAATTAATGTAACACTTAACTTAATACTTTCGGGTTATCCATGTTACTAGTTTCTATGTTAGCTAGAATTTCCTTGTTTGGGTATATTTTCAAGCGTATGCATGACCAATAGTCAATACGAACTATATTTATGTGTACTATACATGAGTTTGAATATGCACATGCATTTGCATGCTTTCAATTATTTGAATCTCGTTTTACTAGTCAATAACATTTTTGGGGAGTTGTTGTTGTTTTGTTGTCATGATAAATTATAATGGGGATACAGAGTTTACTGGCTAATGAGGAAAAAAACACTGGATTTCTTCAAAAATATGCTGATTTTCTTTGCAACAGAGAATATAAAAATTCACATATTATGAAACTGCACTTCATAAACAACTGAATTTTATGTAAACTCTGTGTCAAAGCTATTAGCAAAATGTTAGAATTGTTAAAAACTGGTTTTAAATTCCTAGTATTAGCTCACACTCTCCCTATATCTTGTTCAAATTTTCAATCATTAACAAAATACTTTTTTTTCATCCAATCAACTTCAAATACATTTTTTTAACTTGTAGTGGATGACATTTGATACAGTTTTTTCACATATTAAAATCAATTCCTACTTACTTATTCCTGTTTATCAGAACTAAAGATATGCTGTTTTTTTTAATGTAATACTTACAAATAATGACCATTTATTAGGAATTCTCACATATTTAATTTTATAGCAACTTATAAATAATAGTACATGACTGTGATAAATGGGATAGTAATATTTAACAGAATTAAGTGGAAACAGTAAGGCAGAGTTATAAAGATTTTTAAAGTGTATGGAATTAAAGAATTGTAGTTTTATAGAGTTGGATGAAGCAGATGTAATGTCCCATTATGTAGCGAAAGTTCTCCCAATATTTCTATGTTAATGTGATAATAGTATATGTTTAAAATATAACCCTTTAAAATGTCCCTTGCTTCACAAATGTAGAATGCGAATAGAAACTACAACACAATGCAAGCGACGATTAGAGGAAGAAAAACATGAGCGCCAAGAAAAGCTTGCAAATGAAACAAAAGAAGAAAAGCGCCAACGCTTAGGTAAACGAAATCAAAGATTAGAGGATGCGTCTCAAGAGCAGCACAGAACTCAATTATTAGCTGATCGTCCAAGACATGCACTATCAATAAAAAGTGGAACTCAAGAACAAAGCAAATTACGATTGCAAGATCTACGTCGTAGACACGTACTAACAACAGCAAATGAAACTGAAGAATAACGCAAAGCTCGCCAAGAAAGACAATGTATTCAGCATTCACAAGCTTATTACTTGTTGTTAAGAAATTATAGACCACCATCAGCTTCATAAATTAGAAATGAAAAAATGTTAATAAAAACTAGCTAAAATAAATATTTTCTTTGTTGACCTAAGTAGGAATTGACTTAATTTTTTTTTATATTACTTGTTATAATTATTTATGAACAGAACAATACTATAAGTAAGTATATAGTTATAAAGATAGTCAAATAAATCTTTTTCACCAATCTGCAAAGTTGCTAATGCATTGGTGACAATTCATAGGGTCATGAATTAACAAAAAGTAACTTTTATTTATTAAATTATACTTGTTTTGAGGGATAATAAGAAGTCTTTTTCTTAATGTAGCAGGTTTTTGCAATTAAATTTTATTCATTGCTAATTGTATGGAGAAAGGGGGGAAAATGGTACAGTATCTGACATATAAAAAGAAATCACTGGTGAAATATAATTAGCTGCTTATTATGATCAAATTTCCAGGGAAGAAAGCTAAGTTCATAACTTTTTAAAATCTTATTGCTGGTTGTAATAATCAAATTAGAAAGTTTCATTTATTATTATTATTATTATTTAAATCAAGGCACTTTATTGCAACATTAAAATACTAGCTAAAGTCAAATATGTATGTGTTCTCCTAAAATCAATTGTAGTAAGGAGAAAGGTACAATGAGGTGTATTAAAAAGGAGAGTTTATCGATGAATTAGATTAGGAGTTTAAAAAGTTTAATGTGATGATTTATATAGCAGGCTTTTGTTAGAGAATTCATTTGTTGATGAATAGGATAGACAGCTATTAGAAGTGTAAAAATGTGTAAAATGGTGCAGTTTTAATTCTTTGTATCATGATTGGCTAACAAGATAAAATTGCTAAAGATGATAATGTGCACATCCATGGTTTGCAGATATTGAAACCATTTAACTGAAGTGGTTCAAAGGCGCAAAACTGAAAAATGTGATGATGTGCAAGACAGTCTTGATGCAAGCAGTCCAAGAATTAGCAAAAATGGTGGCTGTAATGCTGCCAAGAGACTTGATATATGTAGTTAAAAAATCAAAACAATACAGTAAATATCATACTGGAATTACATTAAAAATGTGAAATTGAGAACTCTGTTAAGCGACCTGTCTACTTCAAATGAAATCTGAATGATGTGTCAACCCCTGCAACAATTTTTTTTTTTTAAAGCTAGGATACTTTATGGTTTGTTTCGAAGCACAAATTGTAGTTTTGAAAATGGCAATCTAAATTATTGCAATATGGTCTAATAGAAATTTTAGAGCTAGTTTTATGCATTGAAGTTGAAAATTTAATTTTTTCTTAGTGTATTGTACAGTATGGATAATCTTGAATACATTTAATTAATGTCATAGCTATTTTCATTAAGGCAATAATTATTATTAATACTGTAACCCTGTAAAGTAACAGTACACTGTAACTGTAGTACTGTAACATTGTATACACTGTAAAGTTCTTGCTAACTTCCAAGATATTACAGCTATATACTGTGTAGCATTTTCTATTGTTTCGTAATAGATAGATAATAGTGTATACTCTTGAAACTTTTTTTTTCTCTCCTTGATTAATTTTCACTCAAATGGTGCAATGCATTTTTCTTGAATATTTATGTAATATAAAGTGGAGCACAATGTAGGATAAATTTATTGAAACAATCATCAACTTTTGGTATTTTCTTGTTAGAGTAGCTACCATGCTTAGTCATCAGAATTTGCCAATTTAATCACCATTTTGTAACTTGAAAATATCAGGTGTCACCAGTGGCTTATGTGATGGCTTCTTCTACAGGGAATATTCAATACTTTATTTATCTTTCTCGCATATAAATAAAAAGAATCTTTAGTAATGAAATTATGTATTTATTAAATTTCAGAAGTTTTATTTGTTTCTTTTACAGATTAAGAATTTGGAAGCTCAGCTGGAGTCTGAACAGGATGAAAGGCACCAGCTTGTGAAGCAAAAGCATGAGCTAGAGAGACGCATTTATGAGTTAACTGACCAGCCACCTCCTCAAGATCCAGAAATAGAGCGCAGGTTACGAAGAGATTTGAAGCGCACTAAAGCACTTCTGAGAGATGCCCAATCTATGCTAGAACACACTCGTGAAGGACAATCTGGTAAAACTCTCATTAGACAGCTTAAGAACCAGGTAAGATTATATGCAGGATAATCACTTAAATAATAATGCTCATCAGATGTTAGGCAGAATAAAATATCAATAGTGCATGCCAACAAATAATATCAACAAAGACTGTTTTGAGTTACCGTTATGAGAGGTGCTACTCAAAAGTTTACAAAGTTTCTTCAAAATTATTTTTAATTGGCATTATACTTTCCTGCATTATCTTAAGTCTTAAGGTCATATCATAAGGTCTTAGTTGCAATGTAAGAACCAACACCAGTGCTATTCTGAAGACTAGGAAGCCTTTACTAAGCCATTTTTGTTATTTCATTCAGCATTACCTGCAGTTTTTCCTAGTCTTCATTTTGAGAGATAAATCTTTTCCTTCCCAACTTTACTTTCATCTTAGTTAATCCAGTGAATAAAGAGACTTAAAAACAACTACCATATCCTTGGATGCTGAAATTGCTGGAAGATGGAAAAGATTGGAGGCAATAATTTGTTAATAATCCTTTTTGTGTTCAATTTATCTAATAAAATTTGTTGAAGAGAAATCTGCAATCTCTATGATATGCGGTGATATTTCCCTCTATTCTTTTAGGATAATTTAATGCACTTTTACAGCACTCTATTGGGTTGTTCTGGTTTAGAGTTGTCTGAAAGGATTGACACTCAGCAGCTTTTGAAATTATAAAATCATTGGTAGAGGCCAAAAGCTTGCTGAAGTATTTTATGAATTTTTGCATCATTTTTGGCAAGAGTGCATCAAAATTTAATGCTCTCACTATTCTTCCACATCATCTATTGGGCCATGTAAAAAGTCTCTGGTTGTTTAGTACACTTTTGAACTAAAATTTTCTTTATTGAAAATCAATTTCAATCAAGTGCATATTGACCATTATTATTGATGACCTTTTGCCGTTTTTTGGGTAACTTCACAATTCCATCGGTGTAGAACTTCTGTGGTTTATCGTCAAAAAACTCAGCCAAGTGATTTTCAGCAGTGCTCCGGTCAGCCAATTTTTTATCATCAAGAGAGTTTGCCAGAGACCAAAACAAATGGTAGTCAGATTGTCCAAGGTCTATATGGTGGATGCATCAGAACTTCCCAACCAACTTCCGTCAATTTGTTCCAAGTCATCAAAGATGTGTGTGGCCATTCATTGTCATGATGAAACACAAGTTCCTTTCTATTGGTCGATTCTGGTTGTTCATTCAGAAGGTTGAGTTGTGCACAGTACAGAGCCAAGTAGATGGTTTCATGAGGTTACAGCAGCTCATAGTGGACAATTCCGAATTCTTTGGTATCAAAATTTCGAGAACGGAATCGAGCAAACCTCTCCTGGGTCCTTCATTTACTCACAGCATTTTCACTATACACTTCACAAATTTTTTGGCATGTTTTTGCAACGTTTTTACCTTTTTTATAGGTAAAAAAGCATCACATAGCATATTTCTTCTGCTATTTCACTCATTTTCAAACCAGTACAACTTTTTATACAAGCAATAAATTAGAAAACTGTCTTTACAAACAATGGAAGCTGATTGTCACCTTTTAAGCAAATGTTCGTTTGGGACAATCTGGTGAGTGTTGCCGGATATATAGGCATCAACACCAACTAGTGGCAAAAAACCGTGGCTTATGCTCTTTTAATATGATCCAATGTTCTTATGCCCAATAAAATTGCGGAACACATCAAATGTAGAGTTAAAAAGGAATAAATTAGAGGATATGTATGGTGTACGTCATGTATAATCACATGTTCTCCAACTCCTGCATTTAAAAAAATAATATGGGCTTAGATAAAGCTGCTAATTTTTTAGCAAACATTTTTTATTAATGGAACTTATTGCAAAATTAATTAAACTTATTGCAGTTGAAAGTGAAAAGGTCTTATTTAGAAATGGTGAAAAATGTAGTATTAAGTAAATGCATTAGGAAAACTTTGACTAAAACATGTACTAAATTTTAGTTAAAGCTTCTAAATTTTTATCAAAATTTATTGTTACAGTACAAAGTCCGTAATCCGGACTCATCGGGACTTATACAATTAAAAATATGAAACCGTAATTTATGAAATAAAGAGCAATTACAATCTAAAGGGTATCAAGATTAAAAAAAAAAAAAAAAAAAAAAAAAAAAAAAAAACTTAATATTTATTTGTTTACTTTATTAAACATTTCTTTCAATGTAAGTTAAGTTGCTTCATCTTTTAAACGCGCATGTGTAAGTTTGTGACTTAGAGGTCCGGATTACAGACTTTGTACTGTAGTATATAAATTGATAAAATTTATCTAGGTTATTAGAGCTGAAAGGGAAGAGGTCATTTCATAAAATGATAAAAAATCATCAAATTGATGCATTTAGCATGCTAGAATTTATTGGTGATTACAGTTAAATTTGAATGCAAGTTAATCTTTTTTACACACACACATTTTTAAGCATTTCTAATGTAAATTATTACAACCATTTTGTTTAGCTTGAAGACTCTGAGTTCGCAAAAGCAGCTGCTGTCAAAGCTCGTCAAGCTGTAGAAGCTGAGCTGCATGAGTGTCAGTTGCAACTAGAAGAAGTTACTAGAGCCAAGAATGAGGTGGGTGTGCAAATCCTAGTCCATTATTATTTTCAGTTCTGTTATTTTTATTTTTATTTTATTTTATTTTATTTATTTATTTATTTATTTATTTGAAATCCTTATTTATTATAAATTAAGGTAATAGTTATTTAATATCACATGCTGAATTATATATATCTATATATTTATTTATATAAAAGGGTTACCATAAAATAACTTGTCTTAATGAGACATATGACTAATGGATAATCAGCCATAACAGTCGGCATTCTTTCTTAATTTGATATATGCCTTGATTAGTCTTTTATAAAATTACCGTATGCTTACAACAGTGGCATAATTAGAGCTTTTGTAGTCTGGGATGTCCCTGAGTTTGTCGCTAAGGGTGCTTCTGAATTTGCTGCCTCTCATGATATGCAAAAACTAATAATGAGAAAAAATGTCAAAATAACATATAGGGAAGTAAAGTAAAACTCTTTATATTTTTGAAATAAAACTTTAATTCTAACATTTTAAAATTATATTGACCCTTCAATGGCATTGTAGAGGCTTACTATTCTTCAGCTGTTGTTATGTAGACAGTGCAGAAGGATTTCTTAAATGCAGAATAAACATTTATAGTTCATAAATATGTCTTAAAAAAATCTTATTTAGAAAACTGTTCTTACAACTAACAACACTTAAAACAGCTTTGAGGAAAGTTTGCTGTAGTATAACAAAATTTGGAAATTTGTTCTGAAAATGTTATTTTAGGATAAATTGCAAAATTTCAAAAAAACCACCCTTTCACTTTTCTGTTTATTTTCTCTAGCAAGGAGAGAAATAAAATTTTGAAGTTCTCTTTTAAACAAGAATTCTTCCTGTATCCATAATTGTAATTTAGTTTCAACAGAATAAAAAAGGTATAGCAAATTAAAATAGTTTGTTGGTTTCTTTAAATACTTTATCTGGTGTAACTATTTTACTTCACTATTCAATTTAATTTTGGCTTATAGGCCCAGTAGCAAAAAGGTATTTCTCTATAGTGAACATGCATCAAAGTAAATCACTTCCTTATGGTTTGGGGAGGGGGGGAAAAACTTGATGGATCTTTGGATTCATGGTAACTTGGCAATTTTTTGGCGAAAATTTGGCGACTAACCCTGCTAAAGCAACCTGCTAGTTTTTTTTTTTTTGAACGCCATTTTGTTTTCATGAAGTAAAGGCACTTTTTTTTTATTATTTATTTATTATTTATTTATTTATTTTTTTACCAACAATCTGCTAGCTGAATTACGCTTATGCTAGAACTTTTCTGGAACAAAAGTGCTTAATCAAGACGAAGATTAGGTGCGAAATTGGGAGAAAGTGCAGAATCGCCCACTGCTTGGCGCGTTTTTAAGAATTGCACATACACAGTATCCATGTACACGTCGACCTATTTTTCACTTAAAAAAACATCCCAGAATTGCACAAAAATGGCATTGCGCACACTCTTGACTTTATCCATGTATACTGCTAAAGTCCTAGCTAGTAACCTTTATCGCCTTACCAAAATGTCGCCAAACTGCCTGTTACCATATTCCAAAGATTAGCCAACTTGATATTAAATCACATTATAATGTTAAAAACAGGTCAACAACATGCATGCTAAGTTCATGAATTTCATCTAATTTAATATTTGTTAGCGATGTGCATTGCTTCTAATGTGTACTAAGCATACTTTGAATATTATTTGCTATTAAAAGAATTTCCATTAAATTAGATGTCAGGTTTTAATGAAAGTTTCCTATCACCACAAATATTGTCTGCGCAAACAGATCGCGTTGGCATGTTTAATATTTTGTCAAACAGTTTTTGGCATTTGAAAGAAAGAGACTTGGTTGTGTTGTGAAATTTGTAAAAAAGTATCATCATCATTAAAGTGTCTGAAATGGAACTATCATGCTACTAGATTAGAACCATCAATTACTTCCAGTTCTGTTGCAAAAAGTCAACTTCAGAATGTCACCAAATCATGTGTATAGCTATAGGTATTAATGTTGCATCATATGACACTGTAAAGGTTTGGTACCGAAAGTTAAAAAATAAGGACTATGAAATTCAAGAAGGAGAATGTATCTGGCTGGCCTACAATGTTGATGAGGCTCGCCTGTGAGAATTTGTGGAAGAAGATCAGTATGCAACGACTCGAGAGCTTGCTAAGGAGTTAGACGTTAGTGCCATGTCCATTAGTCATGTTATGCCTTGCGTAAACTTGATGTACAAGTTCAATCGCTGGGTGCCGCATGAGCTGACTCAAGCAATTAAAGACAGACATGTTTGGACCTGCTTTAAATCTGCTGAAATATCAATGCAAGAACAAAATTCTGGACTGGATCATCACTTGTGATGAAAAATGGATTTACTTCAACAACAGAGGCCAAAAAAGGGGTTGGTCTATGCCCAGTAAGCCCATTGACAGCATCACAAAGTGCAGTTTGACTAATAAAAAGATCATGCATTGTATCTGATGGGATTGCCATGGTATTATTCACAGAGTATCTGGAAAAAGGTAATACCCTCAACAATTAAGTGTACAGCAAGCTGCTAGTCTGCTTTGACACTGCTATCAAGGGAAAACATTCAGTTCCAGTTCCATCAGAATATTGCAAGACCACATGTGTCTGCATTTGCCTGGACTCTGTACAGACTCAAATGGGCTCTTTTGCCACAGCTAACATATAGCCCTTACATTGCTCCTTCGGACTTGCACCTTTTTTCATACCTGTAGCTACATCTTGCTGATGCTATCTTCAATTCTGTATAGGACATCTGAAATGAGGTTGATCTGTTTTGGGGCTCATGGCCACCAAGTTTCTAGTCCAAAGGCTTTGAAAAACTGCCAAAACATTTTCTGAAAATCATGGATTTGGCTGGTGGCATGCACTAAAGGTACTTTTTTTTTGTTGTTGTTTTCCCTAATTTTATTAAGAATGTTTTTTCACAGAAAACTTTCATTACAACCAGATATTTTGCTATGAAATTAACACTAACACATGTAATTATTTTCCCAATAGCGAGACTCAGTTGTTTAAATCGACTTACTCTCAACAAACACGACCTTCAGAGAAACTCTTAAGTATTCAAATGGAGATTTGTGTAATGTGGTCGAGGCTTCCAGATTAGCCTGCCCATGTGTGTTTTCTTCATTATCAGTCCTGACTTACTACCATCCCATTTGACCTTTCTTTTTTTTTTTAAAGTGATGGCAGTTTTAAAATGTGACATATCAAATTCAGATCTTGAAATTTATACATAACATTTGTAGAATTATGAAAAACTCTTGAAGAAAATTGTATGGAAAAGTCAGTAATCATTAACAGATTAATGATTCAGATCAGTAATAAGAAGTGATTATTCATATTGAGATTTTAATAATTTATTATATTTATTTAAGTATTTTTTAAATTGTTAAACTTATAACAACACTAGACCTTAAAATAAAATTTCAGACAATATATTTTTAATTTCTTATAAACAAAATGTTAAATTAAAGTAATAGTTTCTTAATTAATTGCAAACATGATGTTCGAGACCAAATTACTGCTTTAGTGTGGGTGTGAATAAAACTAGAAGTAGGTTGAACATGAAAGCTGTGTGACTTTGCAGTATTACTTCAAACATAGGTTGACTGCAGTTTTTTATTAATAATAAGTTACCAATTTCTACTTTTTAACACATAAATAAGGAGTAAGGAATTAATAGAACTGAAAATTATTTTTGTGCAATTTTTTTAGCCTTTTTTCCCATTCCAGTAAGATCAGTTTTTCTGTCTTCGTTTGACAAATAACTAATTCTATAACAAATAGGTTATGTTGAAAAATATGAGTTGCTTTATTCTCAGGATTTAGGGATTTTAAGCAATTCACTTATGCACAAAAAAGTTAAGACTTATATTTAACTTTTCCTGTTATTTATTTTTCAAATATACTAAGTTTATTTTAAGAAGTATGAGGGATAAAATTATTTTTGTTTTCTGTGTCAAAAATTTGATGTTATACCCTATATTTCCAGTTGTCATTTAAAAATTAGGGTGTTTGTTTGTTAGCAAGTAGATGGCTATATACAACAAAACTTCATTAAGTGGTCACCCTTAAGAAAAGATTACAGCTAGAATGACATGTTTTTATAAGATTTGGTTTCTGTACTTCGTACAAGGAAGTAAAAAAGTATTAAAATTTTATGTGAGTGCATCTAATGTCATGAACATGAATCACATGCTTGAAAAGGAGAAATAAACAAAAATTTGATAGTTAGTTCTAGTTGGATACTTTATCAAAACTTTGATTTTGGTTCTGCATAAATCATCTATAAAGTTTCTTCAGTTGATGAACTGGATTCCTTGGAACTTTTCACATTCTCAATTTTTTTTTATTCTTTATTTAATGGCATTAATGCACTTAAGTTCTTTGCAGCACTTTCGAAATTCAAATATCTTAGATTTCATGCTTTATTAGAATTTTTTTTTCCATCAACAATTGGTGCTATATTCCTTTTTATTTTGCTGTCATCCCATTTTTGGTTCCTGAAGAAGAGGAATGTATATTTGATCACCCTCAAAATTGATGGAGTTTTATTCAGAATCTGTTCCAAACTGAGATTGCTTTTTTACCTAGCTTTAAATAATTTTGGTCTCAGCTTAAGTATGAATGACTTGACAGCTGGAGTCAGCATCTCAGGTGGTATGTAATTATTGATATAAGAGTGGCCCCAGACCAAAAGAATCTGACTTGATAATGAGGTTTGATTATGATAACTATGATTTTTTTTTTTTTTTTTTTGAGAAAATACAAAAATTTCTAAAAGCTTGCTTATTAATTTATTCAAACAAATATTTCAAGACTGTAGTTTTTAAGGATTTATGTAAACATTCAGTAGCATTATTTGATAGCCTTTATTTGTTTATCTGGAATATTTATTTTGGCTTATTAGATTTTGGAATTCATTTTAAACATGTATTAAAACTTGCATTTACATTGCTTTATGTTGGCATTTTACATATCTTATATTTTTTAACCATATCTGAAAAGGTTAGGTTTTTCAGCTGTATTTTAATATTTTATTTAATTAAATTTAAATCTGCCAAAAAATATACAAGTCAGTATTACATTGGACAGATAATTTTCATTTAAACAAATGATTTTTAACACTTTAGGCTGAGAGTCGTTGCCTGCAATTATCTCGAGAAAAGAGTGCAATTCAGACTCAATTAGAAGAAGCTGAAGAAGAAATGGCTGAAGTTATGAAGAAGTACAAATCTGTAGTAGCCCAGGTGTGTTAACTTACTCTTTTCTTTTTAATATATTTCTTTGTTTTAATATTTGCTTTTGTGGGGGGGTGGGGGGGGTACTGGATTTTAAGATGTATTTATGTATTAACTGTATTTAATTTGCTAAAACATTTTATATTTGAATTAATGAACAGAATATGAAAACTCAATATCAGACACAAACAAGAATTGTCATAATTGTCTGTTAACATTTTGCACTTCGGATGATGTAACTGTACAAATGCATCATAATTAATATATGTCAGAACAAATTTTAGAAAGTGACGAAATATAAAATTGGGTTATAGAACATTGTGAAGAATTGTGCTGAGAATGGTTATTAAATAAGAAAATTGATGAGCTGTGTATTTATCATAAATAAGAAGCAATGTAAACTAATTTTTGGTAAAGTTAGAAAAAAAATAATAATAATATGGTAACATGAGGAAGCCAAAGTCTGGGAAGTTACTTTGGACCTTTTTTGCATTTTTAAATGAACATAATGTTGGTAATGGCATAATATGTGGTCCTACTTTTATTAATTTCTTATTTTTTAGACAGCCCACTAAAGTTTATTTTAATCATCCTTTTCTGCACCATTTTATTTCGTGATTTATTATGAAAGTTGTAACATTTTTTTTACCTTTTTAAAGCTATTATTATCGAATTATGACGCTATTGAATTTAGAGTACCATGCCACAAATGCTTCTACGATCATCTACGATTCCTTGTAGTTGCAGAAGTATGGTGGAGATCTGTTAAAAAAAAGTGATTATCTTTTGGGCATATGTACAACTTTTGTAACGCAAATGGCTGAATAACTCATAAAAGTGACCCTTTTAAAAGCAGCTTTTGTTCTGTATAATTTAAAGAATTTTAAATTGAATGAAATTTTAAAAAATTAATAGGATCGTTTTCATTTGTGTATTCTTAATTATTTGTATTTATTTCAACAGTTAAAATTAGCATTTTAGTAGTGCCATCCAAGAATTAAATAAGAGGCAGATTACATAGTACATCATAAGCAGAATGTTAATGTCTAAGCAGTACACTATATTTCACATCAACACACAAAAATTATAAAAGTAAAATGCAGTCAAATAAATTTAAGTTATTTTTATAACAGTAGCATGAAAATAAAATGTTAAATTCCCAAAATAATGTAAAAATAGTGAAAATCTATATTATCGTAATGTTTTTGCATAAAATAAAAGAACTCTATGAACATTATAATATATTTTATGTATAAACAGTGAAAAACTTTAGAGGGCTCACATGAGACCCTTGCTCAATTTATTTGCATGTTTTTTTATTCCAAGATTAACATATATGTTGTGCTATTAATAGCACTGAAGTTGAATGAACTTTCAGCTCATTGAACAATATTTACATTTATTATTTTGTATATTTTAATATATACAAATTATTACACATTTAATGGTTCTCTTTTTAAACCAGAAAACTTTTTTTAAAAAAAATCCTAATCTTACTCTTTTGATTATTATTATTATTATTTTCTCTTGTCCTTAGAAGATCAGGCAATGTGAAAGAAGAAGAAAACAACATCTGATAGTTTCTGTCATAAATTGTGCCACATAATTAACAAATTTTTATGTAATTTCTAAAGTGTTTTGCAAATTTAAAGATTTCTTTTTAATTAAAATTTTTTATGCACAGTTATTTATATTTATTAAGTAAAATTTTTAATTAGAATATGCTATTTTTATTTTTATAATACTACATGCAAGCCCTTTGTTCAGTTTTTCATAGCTCACCATTGTCTTTCAATTAACAGTAGTAATGGAACTTTAACATATAAATACTATAGTAGAATAGCTGTAGTTGTATGTGTAAAATGCCAATATAATGGATTTCTCTAAAAAGAACAGAATTTCTTTAATAACAATATCAAAATTAAATATTAATATAACTTTATTTACATTTTGTGCTTTATGTTGTCCAAAATATTATGTGCATTTTGTATATGTTCCTGTTTTCTGTAAGTGTAGCATAACAAACTAACGATTCTTAGAAAAGGTTTAACAGAAACTGTTGCTTAAATTTGGAAGTTAAACATTTTTTGTTACAAATTAAGTAGCTTTTCTTTGATATCTTTAGTTATTCATTTAATTATATGATTAAATTTTAGATTTTTTTAAAAATATATATGTGTATATCTATCTATATATATATATATGTAAGTGAAATACCACTGACTCATCATGCGATCCTCCGAAACTATACACCCGATTGACTTAAAATTTTGCATAGTTACACATTCCACGATGTAGACGCACATTAAGAACAGATTTTACGTAAATCCTGTCCAAACTAGATTTTTGTTATGCAATAGGAGTTTCTCATACATTTGTTTTTCAAATCCAAGTTCAGAATTTTCTTTTATTGTTGCCCAAACTAGATATGAAATGCAGTGTTGCCAGTGAATGCATTTTCCTCTAATATTATTAAATTGGTAAATAATTTGCATCGATCCAATGAATACAAACAACATTTAAATGATAAGTTTAATAATAACATTTATATTGAACTGTTATCATAAGTTTCATGAAAGTAAACGTTATTATTAAGAGAAATAAATTATTGTGATGAAAAATTAAAATGCTGTTGTTATTTATAAAAATTACCATACATAAAAAATCAAGGACAAATAATTATAATTGATTAAAAAGTTTGGTAACAAAAATAATAACATTTATTTTCATGAAACTTATGATAACAATTAAATATCTATAAACCTTAGTTTTATGTTGCCAATTTTTCGTGGTGTAGGCTTACTGGGGATCCCACCATGTGGGATGCATCCCAATGCACAGTACCTCATGGGGTGGAAATCTGTGTATGATAGATACATTGACTGGCACTATATTTCCCAACTTTAAATTTAAAAAATTTACATTAATTATGAATTCGAAATTAGACATTTCGTCCGTATAAGAAGTCTAGGTTCACATTCAAATAGTGTGCCCAGCAAAGCATGCGGGTATCAGCTAGTATATACATATATATATATATATATATAATATAACAAGCAAGGTAGTTAGTACAATACTGTATGACCAATTTGGTCTAGATAACATTTTGCGCAATATGCTGCAAAATAAGTAAATTAGAAATTGTAGTAAGCTCGCCTAAAAGTTACCAGGAGCTGTGGCTCCAAAAAGTTCAACATGTTTTAAGAAACAATGTCATTGAAGGGTGAGAAATATGCTACACGAGAAAGGAAAAAAACACAGTAAAATACTCAGCGTTGAAAACTAGTAAAGGCAAAAAATACAGTAAAATACCTATGGATGTGCCATTTGAAAAATTAATACATATGAAAATCAAACCAAGTAACAAGTAAAACATAAAAAAAAAAAAAAAAAAAAATCAGATAAAAATAGAAAGCGGAAAATAGTCACAGTATTTATAGTATAAAATAGTCATAGCATATATAGTCATAGTATTTTCTTTTTTACTTGTATATTATAAAAAAATTGGTTAAAAGAAAGTACTGTCTCCATTTGTAAAAAAATTTTCAATTCATAATTTTCCTGTATAATTCTTTACATAAATAATGATTTTCTATTATTATCGAATAATGTAAAAATGTATCGAAAAAGTAAAAAAAAATTTTTTTTTCATTCCATATTTAGATGTCTATAGATCAGAAAACTATAGCAGACCAAAATCAGCAGATAGCCGAGTTAGAAACTGAGAGACAGATGTTGAAAGATCAAGTAAGTTGTGTTAAATAAACAATCTAAAAGTTTTTTAAATTTTTTTTTTTTTTTTTTTTTTTTTTTTTTTTTTTTAAGAAAAGAGAAAAGTATATGTAGTATATGTATTGAATTTATGACAGTCCATACAAAGACAAGAATCTTCACATGCTTTTGCCACACAAGTCGCAATCTAAAAATCAAGGCCAAACAGTTGAGTTGCTAAAACTTGTGAAACAACATGGGTGGTCCAAAGGAAGTAATAGCTTCCCACTCTATTAAAAGACTGTGCATGTGTCTCCACTTGATATTAAAAAAAAAAAACTTCACAGTCAGTTATGACTAGTTTGGTTTGAAAATGTACAAGACAGAGTAAATGCACAGAGAATACTCTGAAACTCTCAGCTGTACAGAACTCTAAAAAAACATGTTGCTGTCTTTTATAGATAATGAAGACAATTATACTGCCCACAGGCTAACTCATTGCTTACTTTGATGCAAATTATACATGATTTGCTAATTTATGTTGTTGACACTTTTTGTAAAATTATTAATGATTTCTAAATTTTTCATAAAATACTAATAAATATGTTAGAACTAAATATTGCCGTTGTTCATGAATGAGGACATGCAATCAATTCAGCACAAGCAACCAAATGCTACTCACCACAAAGTGATCAGACATTCTGTTTTAGGAAAGGTTGTCCTACATTTGAACTTACTGTACCCCATTAGGCTTAATCCATAAAGTTTTCTAGGTTACAAAACTACATTTAATATATCGAGTCAATCCATAAGTTCGTGGGCATTAAGAGTATGCATGGAATTCACTATGACGCATTTACTAAAACAATACAATTTTGAACCTGTTGAAACTTTTCATCATTTGACTAACATATTATTCAGTTCATCACCAACTTTTATAAATATCGAACCCATTTTAATACCCATAGAAGATGAATATAGATAATCATTATAAACGTGCTGTGCTACATTTTTTATTTTCGTGTGGTGAATCTGCAAGGTTTGCAGCGATAAAAATTAATTGTGAACATGGTGAACACGCTATTAGTGTAAGGACTGCCCAGAAAAATGGTTTAAAAAATTTTAATTTGGGAAAAGCAGCATTGATGATGAACCCCATTCAGGATGTTTTGAACTACGATTAATTCAGAAGTTTATAGTGGACAACTTTGCCGTCTAAACTCAGAATTGATCAAAAAACGCCCACGATGGATGAATATCAAGAAAGTGTTGTTTCATCAGGATAACGCTAGACCGCATATGGCTCGAACAACACTGCAAAAAATTAGTGAATTTAATTGGGAGCTTTTAACACATCTTGCTTACTCCCCAGATATTGCCCCAAGTGATTTTCACTTATTTCGTCCCTTACAAAATTTTTTACTAGGAAAAAAATTTAATTCTAAACAGGATATACACAGTGAAATTTCAAGTTTTTTTGCAACAAAACCAGAGTCTTTCTACAGCAATGGCATAAAAGAACTGCCTGTAAGATGGTGAGACATTGTAAATAATGGAGGAAAATATATAATTGATTAGAATGTTAAATTGTGTTTTTTTATATTGTTTAAAAATTTACCAAAAAAAAAAGCATGAATTTATGGACTGACCCAATATATATATACTTAAATGAGTATTAACAACATTTTTTTATTTAATTCACTATTTATATTACAACACGGCTTATAGATTTTTAAGCATAAAATGGTTGTAAATTAAATAAAAATTTTATTGAATATGGTTTTTTAAGGCTTACATTTGAAACAATATGTAGCAGATGAACAAATTCAGGATTAGATTAATATTAAGTATAATCTGAAGTAGATGGAGATCAAACATTTTAGGCAGAATCATATGCTGTGCTAATGTTTAAAAAATATTTTAAAATTTGGATATTCTTTATCAACTACTAATGATTCAATTAATTTATAAATCATTTTTCATTAATTAATAATATACAACCTCCAAGAAAATTCAATTGGAAGTTCTTATGCATACACACAATCAGAAAGAAGTAAATATTATAAATGAAATTTAATTTGAATGCTCTTTTAAAGAGATTAACAGAAATTTTTTTTTAATGATATAAAATTGCTTAAAAATGCATTGTTTTGAATGGTTTTGTGTAAAAAATAATCTGGCTTATTGCACTTTTATAATATTTGTTTATTTATTTTGTTGTTAAATAGTCCCTTTTTGAAATAAACCCCGTAGTCACCAATTTATTTCAAAAATAAAATGCTTTATAAAAGGATGGAATACATTCTAGAAGTTTGAAATTTCAGAATCTGTCAGGTATAAGAATTTCTTTGATGAAATTTATATTTTTGTATTATGAACCTGTATGCTAATATCAATACTATAGGTGATTGGTAGAAAAGAAAAAAAAAAAGAAAGTACAGAAAAGTATTTAAATTTTTTTATAGGTTTCCATTCAGTTAATTTATTTGTTTCTTCCCTTTTTTTGCAACTAAATGAATTTGCAATCCACTCTAAATTTAATTTGCGTATCTTTTTGTTAGCTAAGTGAAGTTAGCCACAAATTTGAACATTTAGCTGGGCAGTCTGAAGATACGCATAAAGTCCACCGGTTGGATAGCAAAGTGAGAGACCTTGAATCCAAGTTGGAACTTGAACAAACTACCAGAGCCCGTCTAGAGGTAAAGCTTTTTCTGTAAGAAATAGTTAAATTGCAATGATATAATACATTTGTTGAATATTTATGTGTCTCAAATTTGATAGCAGATTAGTGTGTTATGCAGTATTTATTTTAAAAATGTGTTACATATTTTAGTAATGAATTCATTAACATTTTACTTTATCTCAGATTCATTTTTGACATCATCTATCTTTTATGTGAAATCAAAAATATCTTTGTAATATACAGGGTCTATTCCCAAAGTTTCAAGACTGATTTTTTCTTGAGTAGGGGCACTCGTTCATACCCATTCCACCAACTGGGTGAGGTAGTAGGGGGTGTTAATTAACAGACCATGTGAGTTTCAGTTGCCTCTAAGATACTGGAATGAGTAGATTGTTGTGGTGCGAGTGCATGTCAGTAACCCATGTCAAAAACTGGTTGAGTGGAAAATGCAGTGTCATTTGAAGCACCATTATTCTGAAAAGTTCTGTATGAAACTAAAGAAAACAATGACAGAGGCATTTTATAATTCAAGAGACCTACCAAGAAGAAGCCATGTCACATGCACTGGTTTTCATGTGGCGCAAGAGGATCAAAGGTGGCTGCTATGGCATTGAAGATGATGACCATGCTAGGAGACCCTCAACAAGCCGAACTTAGGAAAATCTGGTGAAGTGGGTGAACTTAAATACAGATCATCATGTTAGTGTTTGATTAATTGCTGATGAACTGCAATTGGTTCAGACTATGTACAGGTTAGTGACAGAAGATTTGAAACTGAGAAAAGTGTGTGCCAAAGTTGTGATGGATGAACAGAAGGTACAGTGCCTAATTGTTTGTGAAGAAATGCTTCAGTGTTTGCAAAATGATCTCTTTTTCATAAAGAGGTCACTGGTGATGAGACCTGGGTTTACGGGTATGATCCAGAAACAAAACGTCAAAGTGTGGAATGGCATGCCCCCTCATTTCCAAAGCCCAAGAAGGCAGTCCATTAAGAGTTTGTTCCTGCTGGGCAGGGTTGCATAGGTAAGTTTTATGCTAGAGTGCTGCACCATTTGAAGGATTGAGTAAACCGCATCCATGTCATCAAAGACAGTTGGGTTGTTCACCATGATAATGCACTCTCTCATGGCACTTGCTGCCGCCAAAGTTTTGGCTAAGTTCAATGTGGCAAAACTGCCGCATCCTCCCCCCTGCAGCCCCGATGTCACTCATTCCCAGCGACTAGTTTTTGCTCTCTCAGATCAAGAAAGACCTGAGAGGGAAGCTATTCTACACGATTCCAGCAGTCCAGGCAGCTTTGATGAGGTCCATTCACAGCCTTGAATGCAAAGATGCTCAGAAAGTCTGTGAAAAAAACACTAGCAGCAGTGTGTTGATGTACAAGAGTCATATTCTGAAGACTTTTAGTTCTCTGTACAAAAATGCTTCATAAATTTTGTATTCTTAGGCTAGTCTTAAAACTTTGTGAACGTACCCTGTATCCTTTTAGAATGTAACTTGTTTCAAAATCAAAATGCTTATTATTTTTTTTTTTAATTTTAATATTCTATGTGTTTAAGGATTTTTTAACCCTTTGAACTCTACATGTATTCTTACTGCTGCCTGCCTAGCAGATCACTTATACTTTTGCAGTTCTGAATTTTCATCATAGTTTTTCTTTCTTTATTCATATTTTTTGAAAAGCAAAACCAGATTTAAATTTAAAAGTGCACACTCACATTGCCCATTCTTTGATAACTGTACACTTTTTTCATTATCATGCTCTTTGCAAATGTTCCTTTGGCACAGCTAATGCAGTTGAGGAACACAAAGCTGTGTTTACATAATTGAGCCAGCATATTGCAAGAATTAATAAACAAGCAATTTTTTGTTGGCTGTTGTTACATAGGATTTTTTGTAGTCGTATTTCTTTCAATGATTACTTAATACTTTTTTACATAGAGGACTGTTTGCATGTACTTTTTTGTATGTGGGTGGGGGGGGGACTTTTTTTTTTTTCGTAATGCAATATTTCATTTTTCTAGCACCAAATTGCCAGGTTGAAGGAGCAAAATGACCGGGCCAGAGAAGAATGTGATTCACTGAGGAACAAAGAATTACAGGCTCAAGAAGGTGTTCGACGATTGCAACGTCAACTCAGAGATTTACGAGAGGATTATGCCGCTCTTCAACAGAAAGAAGCAGATGCCTATCGTAAACAACATGAATTGGTAATGATAGTTTGGTGTAATGGTTTAAAATATGCAATAGAATTTCCATTCTTGGATAATCTTTTTTTTATGAAAAATTGAATGAAATACTATAAAAATTAAATTTAGAATTTCAACAGATTTTTTTGTAATTTGGGATTCATATTTTTGACATTATCATAACTAATTATAATTATAATGCATTTTTCATAAAAGCAGGACAGCTTTGCAGCAAAAATCATTAAAGTATCTGCATGTTAAGCAGGTAAACTTTATCTAATATACCAGTTTCAGAAAATAGTTCTACCTTGAAAAATGTAGATTAAAACTGCATATGACTACTTGTTTGCAATTTTTTTTTTCTGCAAATATATTGGAAAAATTCCTGAATATTGTCAGCAATTTAATGAAAGCTAGCACACAACCATGTAGCTTATATATATATATATATATTGCGCAAAAAATTATCTAGACCAAATTGGTCATACAGTATTGTACTAACTACCTTGTTTATTAATATATATATATTTATAAAGCAAGATATGCGTAAAATGTATGTCCACTCCCACAAAGTTAATACAAACTTGTTGTAAAAAGTTAAAATTTACTAATATGTTGGCACAAAAACCACGACTTCACATGGTGGTATTCTCAGTAATAGAAATGTAAGCAAACATATAGGCAAATCATATGTGCATAAAATTAGCTGTGATGTGTGTGAGTATGCATGTTATGTTACGCATACTGCTGCTGTTAATTAAATTTTTACATCAGTGCATTGTGTATCATTTTTTTAGGTATATATTTATTATTTTGTTTGTTTCTTCTAAAAAGTTTAAATAGGATACTATAGTTTACTTTATTCTTCTATACTTCAGGAAATGGCATTAGAAAATTCTGAAACAGACTTGCAAGTGACCAAAAATGATCTGCGATTAGCATGTCAACGAATTCAGGATCTTCAGAATGCCCTTGAAGATGATTTGGATTCAGGTACTGATGTACCTGATGACAGGTGAGGCTGCAGTTGTGTGATATCATTCAAAGTCAGGGAATATTTGTAATATAGTTTTCCAGCATTTTTTAATTATAGAATAACTAAAGCAAATAGAACAATGAATTGTGGAAATTATTAATTTCCCTATTGTTGAGAATTGCAAATCAGGATTTTACTTTCTAGAATACTAAATAGAAAAATTAAAAATTCTTGAATTTATTATTTTTTATTAGAGCTTTTATCAAAATGGGCATGAGGAAAAAGTATTTGAATTTAATTTTCTAATACAAAAATATTCACATTCAGAAAAATGAAAAAATTATTAGCAAAATAAAATTATATTTTGAATTGCCAACTTTATAATTTAAACGTCTAATTCTGTCTGCCGTAAAAATATAGTATGTAAATGGAGGATGCAAGGATACTATAATATTTCCAGAAGAAGACAACCTTTAGAGTTTAAATTCACTGGTTATAAAAATGCTACTTTTTTAATTACTTTTAAGGACAAAGCATATTCATCTTTGCTTTTTATGTTAAACTCTTGTTTTTTTTTTTTTTTTGTGTTAGATAAAGGGAATTAGAGGATGATGTAATAAAAGAATTATTATTTAAAACTTAACTATATATAAACTTATGACTATTTATATATAAATTTAGGGAGAATTTATGGGTGTATAAATTAAGTGCTTTTGAAGATATCTTTCTTCTTTACTTAACTATCCATGCAAGGGGGTGTTTCTTTGTACTTTTTGCCTGTTTATTCTTTTGACATACAGGGTGTGAATGAAGGCACAGAGTAGTCATAAAAAAACTTCCCCGATATATGCAAAGCGCAAGTCTAAGCTTCGGAGTACTTGTGTGGCATCACAATCACATTTGTTATCAGTGCATACTTCTTCAAAGAGGTCACTTCCACTGGTATTAAAATGTGTTCCATCACAAATGCTTGGCATACTATGTTGTTGCAGAATTGCAGCAGCGAAATGTCATTAATCATGTTGTATGGATACAAGATGGTGCTTCTCCGTGCTTCACCACATGTGTTTAGCAGCAGCACTTTAGAGATAGTAAAGTTTTGCAGGCGTTGCGACCCTCCGACTTCACTTCCCGACTGATAAATTTCTGGCTCTGAGTTATCTGAAGGTTTAAACACAAAATCTGCAAGATTTGTCAGAATATAAAGATGCCATAAAACATGAAGTTATATAGATCCCTTTTGTGATATCACATTCATCACTGTTGCCAACTGTCTTCTGCGTGCAATGCATTATCATCTGTGAAGGTGAGCACGATGAAAGCTTGTAATTCCAATAAATATTTTCCCCCATCTTTTTGAAAATGTTTTACGCTGACAGTTTTCATCATATATGTATCATTCCAGTGCCGTTTGTGGCTTTTCAATATCTTGATCAATTTGTACATGAAAAAAGTGGGTATTGCCATTAGAAAACTTTGAATCAAGCACTCATTTTGAGTGGTTGAATGGATAAGCCCCTAGGGATTCGTAGATCAGGGGAGGATTTTTTATGACCACACTGTGTCTAAAAATACAAGATGGAGAAATGCTGAATATCTTCACATGGTAAGTAATATATGGTGTTAAAACATTATCATTAATTCAGTAATAATGTAAGTATTCACAAATGTTTTTATTATTAATTAAATGTGATGAATTTTGATTAATATTAACTAGATATTTTAAAAAAAAATAAAATAAGGAACTGTATTATTGTATAGGAAACCACAGAATGAGCAGCTGTTTCATTTGAAAGACTTTTAGCTTTTTCTGCTCATTTAACAGGTTTTATTTATTTTATTTATTTATTTTTTTTAATCTTTGGATACAAAATTTTCATATCGTGGTGATATAAATATTACGGAGAATTTTTTACATTTTTACAAAGAATGTTATACTGTTACTTAGAATGTTGTATTTTAGAGATTTTTCTGTGAAGTATAAAATATTGTTAATAAAATAAAATAAAATATCATAAAAGTAAAACTTTTACCATTAAGATTACAAGCCACTTTTGTTACTTGCTACTATTAGAATATATAGTAATAACATCAGTAGCTTAAAATTATAAGTAAAAATGAGGATTATACTGCTTTGAGATTGTCGCTGTTTGTAGTAAGGTTATTCAATAGAATGTAAAGCTTCTGGCAGAAAGATTTACGCCTGAGAATCTGCTCTATTATTGCTGTAAGTGCATTAAAATTGCTGTGTTGTTGTATAGTGCATTTGTTGCATTTAAAATACTCTGTTTAGGAATGACAGACTGATTAAATTTGAAAGATAAATTAAATATCTTATGTTTTGCGAACTGGCAGTACTCTGAGAACTGGCTGTAAAGAAGATTGCATGAAAGAAAAAGATGTTTTATTTTGCCCAGTAGCTAACACTCGACAGGGAATGTAGGTAGTGTAGACATAATAATATGATGTAATAAATGCCATTGTCCAAAAATTTTAGAAAGTTTTTTTTTTAAGAATGTTTCTAACATTTATGAAAAAATTTCAAATACAGTGAATACCGAAAATCCGCCAACCTGAAACCCGCCAACTCCTGAAATCCGTGTTGCCTCTCAAAATATAAACATTCAGTTTATAGGTTCTGGAAACTGCAACACTGAGCATGAAATATTGAAGAAAAAATACTTACTAAATAATGACGTCATAATTACCAAATAATAATGAGTCATAACAGAAATACCAAATTATTGACATCATGATAAAAGTTTTTTCTACTCTAATTTGCATCGAGGTAAGAAAGCAGACGATTTACTCAATTCTTCTTTCAAGTTCACGATTCACGTTGTATTTTCTGAGCTTTGTTATTTCACGAGATTATTTAGTGCTGCTTTTTTTATCCGAATATTTTGTGGATAAATTAAGAATATTTTAGATTTCAGCCCTTTATAATACAATTACAGATAAGAAATGCACTCATGATTTTACTGCTTGCAATGTTGAAAAACGTAAACACATTGCATTGACGGTAATGCAAAAAGTGCAAATTCTGCAAAAGATGGAGACAGGCGCTACTCCTCGGTTTATAGCAGAATCATATGGAATTGCAATACGATTGTGTACGATATATGGAAAAATAAAGAAAAGCTGTAGAAATTTTACAGCAACAGTGATTCTAACACCGGAATCCGAAACCGAAAATCTTTGCATGAGATGAAATCAGCAAACCTCGATGCTGTGTATATATAATACAATAAATAATATAATCACTTTATGTATGTAATAATAATTTAGTGCATATAATAAGTTATTGCAATAATATATATAATAATTTAATTGAATGTATCTAATATGCCTTATTTATTTTGCACTTTTAGTCTGAATATTATGGTTGATCTTTTCTGTCCTGAAATCCACAAAATCCTTAAATCCGCACAACCTCTGGTCCCAGGCTTTGCGGATTTCTGAACTTCTACTGTAATAGTAAAATCTTATATTAAATATTATGTTCACCCAAGAATAAAATGTAATATTTGAATGGTTTCTGTATTATTAGAAAAGGGAATATTTTAAATTCAGCCTGAGAAATTTTATTAAGCTAAAAAAGTAACCAGGGATTGAAAATCACTAAAGTATCTCTAAAAAATCTGGTTTATTCCTTTTTTGTATTAAGTTCACTTTATTATTACAAATTATTTAATTTTAATTTTTTTTTCAGTGGTTCAGACAGTGATAGCAGTTTTGAGTTGTCCGTTCTGAGGAACCAGAGCATGACACCCGTCCAACGTTGTGATAGTGTTGCTAGCAACCTTAGCTATGGAACTCTCGAAGGACCACATTCTCGAACGTCTTCCTTCAGTCATGAACTATCTGCATTTAGCAGTAGGTAAAAACCTATGTAGGCATGCCAAGCCATCCTGCATTTTCACACTCCCATTATTAACAGAACTCCTGCTGTTTGGTATGTGACTGTTTATCTAACACATAACAGTGGTTTTCAAATTATGCCGCATTGTCTACATTGCATACATAAATGCCAAGATGTGTGGGTGTTTATGAAAGTGCTTTCCAGAATCTTGAAAATTACCGTGTAGCTGAAGCAGGATTAAGCCTATAAATATTAAATATTAAAATTTTTACTATTATGCAGGTAATAGCTTTTTCATATGTTTCTTGCTACTGCCAGCTATCACTGTCCAAACTTAATTTAGATTTTAGTTTTTCAGAGTTCCCAACAATCTTCTATGAAAACTTTCATTAAAAGCTGGATTTTTACAATTTTATTTCTGTTATTCTGAGGTTATGGCTCTTGGTCATGCACCATCCTCTTTTTTAACCCTTTTTTATGAAATATTTCTCCTGCTCTCGAGCAACCTTTTAGTTTTTAATTTATCTGAATTCAGATCTTCTCTTTTAAATGTATGATAGCTTTAAAAGAATTGCTGATCACTAACTGTTGAAAAAAATGAAATGACTAATATGAATTCTTTAAGGGGGAGAACTAATTTAATCAATTATATTAGTATTATCTCGTATGGAAACCTATAATTGTGTGAATTCCATTTTTTACCCAGTAATTTTCAGTGTCATTTTCCCTCTGCTCTGTTTTAATTCATTTTTCAGGTTGTGAAGCCTTAGCACAAACATTAAGATTAACATTTGTACTCCATTTTGTCTCTTATTTTAAATCTTTCAATGATAAATTCTGTTTAAAAAAAGTTTGCTTATAGAATTATATGTCTGTTGATTAATTATCTTTTTTATCATATTTAAAAATATTTTGATAAGTTAACGCTTTTCTTTCTGCTTAGGTTATTGTTCAGTATAATTTTTTTTAACCCTAGATTAAGCACATGGGTGACAGGTGTCCCCCAGTGATATTTGTCACAAGTTTGCAACACTGTATATTGATTTTCGGAGAATGCGCCTTTCAGTAGCTGAGTGTTAATTTTTGTTGTTTGTTGTGATGATGTGTCTAATTGTGCAATGCAAGTGTTTGCACTTAATGCAGCATTAAATTGCATTATTAAATCAAAATGCTAAAAAAATTACAGAATTTTTAATAATGAATTAATTTCAAAGTTAATATGTTTCATTCCAGAATTATGTGATGACTAGTTTCATAATCCAAATGACGTAGTATAAAATTTGACAATTTTAAGTCTTTTTAAGGTCATATCTTCCTGTGGTGTGAAAAATAACAGTTTCTCATATTTCAAGCTTGTTTTATGCCATAGTACATTAATATTGTTTGTTTATATCTTGAATTCTACTAATTTTACTTAGCCTCTATTTAGAGCAGTTGCTTATTGTTTATTTTTAGGTTTTAATAAAATGTTTTAAAAGTTTTTTTTTAAAGATTGTAAAATACTTGCTATTTATAAATTAAATAAATATGTCTTCAGAGAAAGAAATTTAATCCGCTAGTGAACATAATTGCATCATGCTAGAATTTACTATGCTATGTTTGATACTATACTATGCAAAATATAAGTTTTTTTATTTAATTTTTTTTTTTTTTTTTTTTTTTTTTTAAATTCCACTTAATTTAGTGATTACTTTTCAGATAGAACACTGTAGAATTTGCATTGCTTTTTGTTCAGTCATCTGTGATAAACATTCAGAAATTAATGAGAAAGGTTATATGGCTCAATTATATTAGGTATTCTTCACGAAGATTTGCAAAATGTTAAAAAATTGAAAACCACTGTTATGCTAAAGTAGGTACTAAATTTGAAACTAACAGTTTGTCTGAGTGTTCAGTGTATAATAAGTTCAGTGTATAATAAGTTTGTAGTGTTTTGCTTTGGTTATTCTTTCACCATCAAATGCAAGTAGTTCAAAATGCCTGAGTGATCGATTTCTATAAGTTGTGCCAATTCTGATGTAGTTTGATGGAAATTTTTTTGAAGATACTGAGCTTTCCTGAATATAGATTATTTATAAGTCAAATCACTTTTCCTGAAATTGTAAAAACAATTTCTTTGTTGCTCTTTCAGCAATATTAGTCGTCCAATAGACAGTGCAAACAGTTTTCATCACTCCTGGTGCACTTGATGCTCAGTTAAAACAAAGTGTGGAATGTGCCAGAAATGTTCAACTTTGTCTAGATAACACACCTTCTTGTTTCATTTACAAAATAGCCAAAATTTGCTTAAAAGTAGAATACACTGCATTTTCACAAACACAGAGCTACAAACTAAGCAATAGTAAAGGACAACAAACTCACAGTAAGGCAGTGTTTTCAATCCATAATAAACTTATGCACCAACTATCAACTTGTACACCAATCTAATAATTCTGAGCAAGTAAAATAGCAGTTAAATAATTTTTCTGCCCTGTCCATCTTCCAGTTGGTGTAACTTTTGGTACTGACCCTCTAAGCTTTCTCATTCCTTAAGAGAATATTTTTCAGCTACCTTTGATTCTACTATGGGTGGTTTCCTTATTGCATCATTGGGATAAACTCATGTCTGTTCAGAGCCTTTTTTTAAGAAGACTAAGATGTTAAATTCATATTGTTTTATAACTGTTATCTTCAGACTTTATTGATTAATTCATGCTAACATTCTCAGAAAAGTATATGTTAAAAAAATCACTGGAAATATATCAATGTTGCTTTTATGTGGCACTTAAAAATCATTATGTCATTATAAACTTACTCATCAAAACAGATCTACTTCACATTATTTTAGGTAATAGTAGAATTTTTAAAATCGTATGTAATTAATTAATTTAATGTATATTTAAAGTTCAGCTGGAATATCTACCTCTAGAACTCATAAAGCAACTGGGTCCTTAAACTGTCTCAGTGCGAAGAGCTTCTGAAAATACGAATTAATTATGCTGTGAAAAATAAATTAGAAAAAGCATCAATACATCAATTTTGTTCAGATTTTATATACATATTTTAAAAAAAATTCATTATTTCCTTATAATTTTACTCATAAAAACATATTCGTATTATTTTGGGTAATACTAACAACAGACATAAAAAAATATTATTTAATTAATTGTTTTAGATGTTAAGTTTTGCTGTCTGCATAGTATTCAAAAATTCTTTTGAATCATGATTTTGATTTGCAATTGTACAGAACACAGTTTGAAAGCACTGCTGTTGAGCAGTTGCTTAGAACCTAATGGAACCTAACAAGAACACAATTTGAAGACCATTATTCTGGATTGGGATTTTATAAAAGATGTGAAGGATGTTTACCAAAATTGTTGCTCAGACTCTGTTGTTGTGGCGTTTGTAATATCATTATGTAGCTTGATTGTTTTTGAGATTATTCCTCTTTACTCCAAATTTCTCTCTCTCTAAATGTAGTACATGTTGCACTATTTGACTTTGTTTCTATTCTTGGAAAATATGTCAGAATAGAGAGACTTTCATATCTCAAAAGAGCATCAATAGGACTTTCTTGGCAGAAGATTTTTCTTAGTTTAGTCATCTTCAGTAACAGGATTAGGATGGTTTCCTTACATTTTACAGTCTGGTGTGCAAAATTTAAGGCTGAGACAGTTTTCAAATATAACATTATGCAAAATTGTTCCACACTGACTCAAATCATCAAAATCCATACTGACTCAAATCATACCTCAAGATGTGAAAATATGGGACAAAAGAGCAAAATAATCCTGACAAGGAATCAAAAAGGATAAAAAGGCACTTTATTGAAGAAGTAGCTCTGAAAAGCTGAAAATCGTTTCCAGGCTTGTGAAACAATGCTGTGAGTGATCCCAAACACCTCTGCCACACTTGTCACACTTTAGTCTTCTTCCAGTTTTCCAGTGATGCAATCTCGAAAACGTAAAGTCATCCAGATGACATCTCCTGGATTACCTGTGAGCCATATCATATAGCAGTAGTAACTCGACATCGTTGAAATCATTGTACATCATACAGTAGCTTTCACCAAATTGCTAAATGTACACTGCTCGTGTGCAATAACCCCTTCTCACACTTCTTTAAGTCATGTGCATATCCTACTGTACTGGTCCCTATTCTATTTCCTAATTAATCTTTTGGTCTATTCTGTTGCTCTGTTCCACTTTCATCCTAATTTCTCAGCCTTGCCCTTAATTTTTGCACACTCGTGTATGATCCAGTATACCAGATCCATATCTGATTTCCAGAAACACTGCAAGAGCAGGTAATTTAATTTCTTGGTCTTCTCTGATGTGCTAGCCTGGGCTGATGTGCATTGTGTTGCTGACTGACTAGATCCAGCTTCTTTGATTGCATGTGTTCTTCATTGGTTGTTCTAACCTTTTACATCTTTCTGTTCATTCATAAGTTTTTCATGAAGTCATACAAAGTCTAGAAATTTCAGCAAGTTCACTTCTTTTGTCCAAATAAATAATACTATGTTTTCTGACAAAGATACAGTTATGCATGGTAGTTTTAATATCAATCTGTAATACAGACTGATAACAGAGTGCTGCATGTGCATGTTCAAACTATCTATATTATGAATGTAGTGTTGCTGCTCATTATGCTCAAATATGATTCAACATAATTCTGAATTTATTTTTACTTTATTTTGTAGTTATTTCTGTGTCATAGAAAAATTCTTTGTATCAGTGAAACACCGTTGTTATACAAATGTGTTTTTAAATTATTCTGCTGCTGATGAGCAACTCTAACTTGCATTACTTACAGAGGCAAAAGATAGTTGATGATATTTAACTAATTACACCAGCAAGATTTGATAATTATTCAGACATTTTGGAAAATAAGTTTAACTCCATAAACTAATAAAGGAACATAACATTTATATAAATATTTTATTTATCAATTTCTTTCATTATAAAGAACCATAGCACAGTATGTGAGATGTAGTGTTTTAAAATATATTTTGTTATGTGATAGAAATTACTTCTATGTGAAGCAGAAACTTAAATTGTTCTGTATGTTTTTTTATTCAATATATTGTCTTCTGAGCTGCAAAACACATGGAGAAATTGTAATTTATGGCATTTCTCTAAAATTATACTGTATTTTCTTCTTATTCTAATTACTCCTTCCTATTTTTTATTTAATTTCATAGCTTGAAAATCAAAGGTATTAATTAAGTAATGTAAACACATTTTGAATGGAAAGAAAGAGCTTATTTGATTAAAATGAGTGTATAAATAGGTGTTATATACTTTGTTTAATTATGTATGATCAATTACTAATAAGTTTTCCTGCTTCCTCTAATATCTGATCAAATGTGGTGAATCCCAAACTATGTTGTCATGAGTTTAACACAATTCTTTCTACTATATTTTAACACCTGGAATTTAAAATTTGCAGTATAACTACATATGACACTGCTTATACATGTTTGATGAACTGAAGTAATATTTTCCTAAATGTTCTTCTTGTCACACTTTAGATTTGCCTAAAAATTTTACCGTGAAAGCAAGATGTCTGTATACAGGTAACTGGGGCGCAGTATTGCGGCTCATCGTGTTCTGATGACATTAAATACCATATTTGCTGGCATATAAGACACACCGCTCTTTTCATACATATTTTTGAAGGATAAAACTTTAAGGATCGTTATAATGAATTTACAATATTTTAAATATAAATATAAATACAAAGTAATACTTTCTGCAAATATCTAATCTATCTGGGAAAGGACACCTTCATCAGAATCCAGACACTCATTTCCAGAGCTAAATGAAAAGTCACTTGAAACTTCTTCTAAATCAGCATCTGAGTCCTCATACAACAAATCGTCCTCTGTACCATTCAGTGCATAACTAATGGCACATTTCTTCAATGATTTAACCACTGTCTCTGTTTTCACAGCATTCCCTGAAGCTTTGACCCATTTACAAACTGAAATAAATGTAATCAAAAACTGAGTATTGAAGAATAAGGCAGACCCCATTTTTCATACTTATTTTCAAAGAAAAGAAGTGCATCTTATACCCCAGCAAATACGGTATATCCCGTGAGAGAGACATTTCAACTGTGCAAGCTATATTGCACTTTTGGAAGAAGGACAAGTCCCCCTACACACATGCGGTATTAAACTTCTCAGTTTTTCTTTTTGAATGCATTGTGAAAGACAATGTATAGAAGGTTGTCTACATTTGGTGTCCCCAGTTCCCCTCCTTCCTTTTTAATCTCCACTAAGTAGTTTATTATTTTTGCTATTCTATGGAACTTTGTTGTATCATTATTCTATGTTGTTAATTTACCGTTTAATATATTTGATTAGGATAGGACTAATTTTCGCCCAAGTGCCCAGTTCGCAATATGTTATCACCTGAAGCTCAGTTTACATTTCTGCATGAAAGAGAAAGATGGAATTTTGAAATTTGAATGAAGATACAGAGAACACTAATTGAGAATTTTTTAAAACCAGTAGTTCTTGTGATAGAAAAATTATGCAAGTAAATCAATTTCCTAAATAATATACAATGTTGGGAGCAAAGATTAAGTAAATAATATACCTGTTTATGGGAAATAATAGCCTTCAGGAGAACTTATGTTAGTCAAGCTAATAAACCTCCTTTTTATGTTTATCCGTCTTCTAAAGACAGTCTTTAATTTTTGCTTTTTTTCCTCTTTTTTTAAGGAATGATGCTGAGAAGGACGTCAATGGATTTTCTGGGGTGAACAATTCCAGCCACCTTCTTGACACAGATCATGATGAAACAGTGTAAAGTTAATTTTGGACCAGTCCGTTTCCTCCGCCCCAACTGAGAATGCAAAGTGGCTGGCCACGGACTGTGTCATCACAGAGGGCCGGAGGTCATTCAAGTATTTAAATGGTAGAATACTGCCTTTCTTTGGTGCGCTGTTTTTTTATAGCCTATTGTGTTTTGAAAACAGCTTCTGCCAGAGTTGTGCAAGCATAAAGTTTCTATTTATTATACTATTCATTTGGGTTTCCTCCTTCTTAGTCATAAATGTTTTAAGAATACATTTTACAATCTTTTTATTATATTGATAATTTTGTGTACATAATGTAAAAACTATGCAAATTCAAATATTATGTACTGTTATTTTTATTTACACTCATATATAAGAAATATGGCTATCAGTTGTAATTCCAGGGCAAATAAAATAATGTGCATACTTTCGTATGAATATTGCACTTTAGCAAAAGAAATGAACTCCTAGCAGATGTTTTAAACATGTTTATGTTGTTAAAAGGCTTTCATCTGTATTCCATAACCGACATTGTATAAAATAAACTTGTATGGTGTTACTTCAAAAAAATATATATATATATAAAAGAAACTGTAAACTTAACTTCCTCTTCAAGATATTATATTTATTTAATATGCTTTTTGTGTCGTAATGGAAGACTTCAATGGCTGAGTATCTGTGATGATCCTTTTACATTTTTACTTCATTAATATGTTCATTTTTTAAAATTAATTATGAAAAGTGAGTTGCATTTATACTTTATATTTAAAAAAAATGTGTTGAAAAATAATATTTTTGAATTACCTGATTTTTCTTGCAATATTTTGAAACATTACTGTTTTTTGAGTGCTTATATTATTGTTGACGTTACTTGATGTGAGCACAATAGGTTAACAAATTTGATAATAATAATAGCTGATAAATTTATATTTTTATGTCACTTATATTTTTCAGTTGATAAATTATATATTTTTTGTCACTTATATTTTTAACTTACCTCGGTACTCTCATGTATTTTTATTAAATGATTTTCAAATAAAATTCTCGAATATAAATAATAAAGGTATGAAAATGAATGTTATGTAGTGGTAATAAGGAGTTTTACCAATTTTATTATTTATTATAAATCATAAATGAGAATGTTATATCATCTGATAGCCCTTGTACTAATGCATATAAAGTAATTAATGTTGACAGTAAGCTTTAAAAGGCATTATTGAAATAAAATATTACAAAGAAATATATAATTAAATAATGGTTCTTCTTATTTACCGACAATATAAATATATTTGAAATTTATTCTTTTGATAGCATTAACTGATTATTGTAACTGCAATAGCAAAAATATGCTGTTTTAAAGTTTCAGAACATTAACTATGATGTAAATGTTTATATATCAAGTACAAGCTAATAGGTTTACCCCCCCCCCCTCCCCGATGTTTCTTGGTGCTTAACCTTTGATTTGCTGATGCTTTTGAAACTGACATGCTGGCACATCTGAAACATTTGGCAAAGCAAAGAAATGGGTGAGGTGCGAGTAATATATAAATGTTGTCCTAGTTGTGGATGAGATACTTAAATCATTTGTGTTATGTGTATTCCGAGTGCTGTTGAATATAAAAAAAGGCAAATTAATATATATATTGTTTTTTAGTAGTTAAATGATATTTACATATAAATCTTCTTCCATTTGCATGTGTTCTTATTATTTTCTGTTCCTTGTGTACTGCCATCAAAACAAAAAAGGTTTGTTAATTTTCAGTTTTTGCAAGACATTAGAATTTATGTAAAGATTCCATCTATGACTGAATTCAGATTTTCCTCCCTTATATTCAGGTTAGAGTTAAAATTTAAATTTGGCAAAAGTATATTGTTTTTTCTCAAAAATGATATCCCTGTTTCACGAGAGTCATCAAGTAGTTTTGTCTGCATTTAAAATATTGTTACATAATTTTTTTATAACAAAATGGAATGCATTTCAAATGAATGTAAATATTTTAAAATTTTGTATAGGTAATTCTTTCTTTATTTTCATTTAATATCTTTTATTTATACAAATTTCCAAATCTTCCTGCCAGCAAGGTAAAATTTTAATTCTACTTCTGCATTTTTGTATACTTACTTTTTGTTATTTTATTTCTAACTACATCTGTATGTAATTGGGATGATGCCTAAAATTGGCCCTTTTAGTTTCAAATTGATTTATAACAACATTCTGATGAAAGTTAATATAGACTCTTTATTTTTTTAATCAAAAAAAGGATACGACTTTGAATTTTTTATATTTATTTTTTTCTTTCCCCCCCTCCCCCCCCCTCCCCCCCCCCCCCCTTTTTTTTTTTTTTTTTTTTTTTTTTTTTGGGCTGCATTTATAATTTCTTCACTTTGAGCAAAATTTTTTAGTTTTAAAATGGAAGTAACTGTAATAATACCCTCCCTTCCCAGTTATTCCAAAAATATATTGTAATTTAATGTACTAAGATTATTGTTATTATTATTCAAGACTGAATTTTCTACTTCTCTGTACTTTAAATTTCTTAAAATAAATACTCTTAATTTCATATAACACTCAAATAACAAGCAATTAAATTTTGTATGCATATCAAAATACGTCAATCAAGCTGCTCTTCCTTAAATGCAAATTTGTCGTTCTAATTGGAAAGTTATAATTATGTATGACTCAGAATCCTATGAATGAGTCATTGATTCACATGTTAATTGTCTTAAGAATGAAAACAATTTTTTTAAAGCCATTTGTGATTTGAAAGCAGAATAAAGCATTCAATAAGAAACCTCTGAAGCATAAGTTAAGTGAAAGGAATGCTATTATGAATGTTTTATTTAGGCTTTCAGGTACAATATATACTTTTGCCAAAACTTGCCATTTTGTGAAAGAAAGAATTTATTGTTGTGTCAGTGTAGCTCACGTCATTTAGAAGTGTGCATCGTCTTTTTATATATTTTGTATAAATGAGTTTATACATTCAAATATGGAGTGAGATACAGATATTGTGCACACTCCTTTTGTTTTCTAATGCAATAAAAACCTTTTTTTTTTTTTTTTTTTTTTGAATGAATTTGTCTTTTCATTTTGGAAATGATGTTTTTATGCAATAAGCCAGTAATTTTAAGCTTTTTCTTTTATTTATGTTATCTTGACCACTTTGAAATTTTAGTCAATATTTCAGCTGCTTTAGATGAGACTTCCCTCCTTGTGGTTTACAGTTAGTTTACAAATGCAGTTGTTCCTTACATTGGTGGGTAATGCTTTCCAAGTCTTGCCGTTCATATGTAAGATTGCAAAAGCTATAGTTTTATGTAAATACATAAGCACACAGGAGTTTAATGTAACATACATAAGCACACAGGAGTTTAATGTAACATACATAAGCACAGGTTTAATAGTAATTATGAAAGAAATTACCAAAACCAAAGTGATAACAGAGTGTATTGTATACTAGTGTTAACTTTAAGCATAGGTGGCAGAGTCATCTAAGAATTCTTATGAATAACAATTAATAGAGGTTTTGCTCTGAATTATTAGTATGTTTAATTTATGTAGAGTGTCAACTCTACTGATCAGCAAGGGCAACAAAAATGCTGGAGCCTATCCTGATGTAAGCTACAGTGCCTTACACATACTGTTATATAAAATAAACCAAAATCACGAGAGAGAGTACACATCAGTGTACTCTTTCTTGTTTCCATGAAAATAAGGGACTCTGATATTATTTTAATCCATAATTGCCCACTGTGAGCACTCTCAAGGGTCAGTGTCAGTAAGTGGGTGTTGAGAACCATTTGGACAATAAGACTCAAAATTCAGTATTATGAAAATTAAGGAATTTTCAAATAAATATTTAAATATTCACTTTATTATACAAGCATGCCATTTATACATAATTACAAAAATAATACTAATTTAAATCACTTGAGCTGTCACATGTGTTGTTCCAAGTTTTTTTTTTTTTTTTTTTTCTTTTGTTTTTATGTTTGTTTGTTTGTTAAGTCCACTTTTTATTTCAAGTGAACACAAAAAATGCAATTTGCATATTACCAATTAAAAATTCTAAAAGCTTGACTATGAAGCTATATCCTGAAGAGCAACAGAATTACGGATTGCTGGCATTATGCAAATTTTGAGCTGTGTGCAAGCCTGGAAGTGAGTTGTAAATGATGCAAGCATCAGTTTGACAAGATAAAGAGCTCTGTTCGCAGTATCAGTAATAGTCAAAAGCAAAATGAGTAAGAGTACTGACCTAAGCACATTTGTTCATGCCTAAATCGGCAGAGCCCGATGAATGGGTCACTCCATTTTGGAAGTAGTGCAGAGTGTCAAATTTTCATGCACCACTGTGTCAAGGGTGTACCGTGAGTATGTCGATTCTAGTAAAACCATCCCTGCCATGGTCAGTTACTGCAGATAACAGCATGTGGATCACCGAGTTTCATCATTGCCTAGTCCGCATTGTAACAGCAGATAGACGGGCCACAGTGCAGAGATCATATCTCAATTTAATGCTGGTGAACAGCAACATGTAAGCTGCCACACTATACAAAGCCATTTCCTCTCAGTCGGGTACAGGAGTCAATGTTCTGCAAGAGCCCTTCTGCTGACTACACAAAACATGGTGCAACAATTAGCATGGGCACCGCAGTATCGTCAATGGTCCCTCAAGATGTGGGAAAATGTTGCCTGGGGGAAAACGTCATCTACATGAACAAAATAAAGTAAAGTTAAATCAAAGAAACAGTACGGTTAAGTGGTAACAATGTGACCTTTATTCCAACAAGGTTAAATTAAAGGTTCATAATAGGTGCTCAAAATTGCGACCATTTACACGAACACAGGATTCATAGCGCCGTTGCATTGACCACCGAACATTTTAAAAATCGCCTGCCATATCATGGACAGTTCCTGCGGCAGCCACTATTTGTGCAACAAGGTCCATTTCACTGTCGACGGGAGTCTCGTTACACATATTCTTTTGTGAAGCCCCACCAAAAATCCATGGGCAATCAGGTGACATGGGTGGCTGGAGCCCTGTCAGTGATACCCATATCTCGGTGGGTATGCGCAGGAAAAGTGCCCAGAAAAGTAAGTCATTCTGTCTCGAGAAAGACTAAATCTTTCCTGCCGTCGAATCGGGGCGGTTAGAAGTAAAGTCCCATAAACAGTCACCAATGATTCCAGCCCACACATGTGAATTATGTATATTGAACACACCTTCATGAGTGAATGAAGCTTCATTTGTAAAATGGACAGAAGCTGGAAAACGGAGGTCCGTGGCACCTTTCTGCATGAACCATTGTGCAAATTCCACACACTTCGGATAATCGTTAGGATTCAAGTTTTACGGTAGAAGGTGCTAGCACCAGGGTACCTGTGCCGAAGGCCCTACCCCTAATCGACTAATTTGGGTATTTTATAATTTTGTCGAATATAAGATAAAAGACAAAGATTTAAGCAATGATTTTATATCAAATGTGCAGAATTTAGGCCAAACATTAACTATGCTTGAAACAAGTCGAGGGGGTGAAAATGCCAGGGCATCTGGGAAGTGGTTTGAGCTGGTGACATGAAATGCTGTAAGAAAGTTTTTTAATACATTAAAAATATAAGGTAGTACGAAGCATTCGGTGAAATACAAGTAAGGAATTAGATAAAGTGATTATTATAAAAGAGGACACTGGTAATATAACTACACTTATGAGATGGAATAGAATTTTTCAGAAATACATGAGGTGAATAAGATGAGTTGTGGCAATTTACAAAAGGGTAACTGAAGTCAGGAAAACGAAGAACCAGCCGATAAAATAGAAATATTAAGTTATTTGACATGATAGATACATGCTAATAAATGCAATATATAGAATATATATGTATCGTTAAGATGCAGTAACTGCACCCTTTGCAGATGGTAAGGATGCACACGTTCCTCGTGCAGCATCTGCTAAGTGTGAGACCCCAAGCTGCTGAGCAATAGCTCGTGTACTGGTATTCGGATTATCTTCGATAGACTGAAACGCAGTCGCATGGACCTCCGACCTAGGTTCTACACCAATCAGAGTTATATGATAGACTGTCGGAATTGTTCTGCGACGTTGACAGTCCGCGTCAGTCGTCTTCTTCCCGTATCCTGCATGTTGCTGCGTAGTGAACCACGTTCGCACAGACTGCGATGCCACACATGCAAAGATTTGATGCTGCGGTATTCTTTTGTTGGGGTATGGGTCTTCGTAAACTTGTCTAGCTCGACGGCCGCTTTCGCCAGCTGCCTCATATGCGAGATGCATATCCGCTAGCTCTTGATTCGTAAAACGATTCATCTTATCACTAATAAGTCAGCTCGTACACTGATGACAGCGGGAGTGGTCGGGCGAGCTGTAGACTGGTTGAACACGCACAGCGAATTTGCGGACACACTTTCCTATGTGAATCGCACTGCGTTTTCCTACCTCCCCACGAAATTTTAACGATAAGTTTCGAAACACCCTGTAGAAATTGCCAAATGAAAAAGACATCACTAAGCAGCTTGATTTTGATTCAAGGCAACTATGTACAAAGAAGTCTGTTTTCCAAGTTTCAGAAAGATCAACTGGGCAAAATGGAGCAGAATTCTAGATAACCTTGTTTTTTCGCGCCTAAACATATCTTCGCTTGTTTTAAGCTTTGCACTCTTATGAATATTCTATTAGTAAAATGTTGATTATTTTATTCTGTTTAGTCATTTTTATCATGAAAACTAGCAAAAGACAATGATCTGAGTCTGAGCAATAAAGTCGACTTGTTAAACCGCTGTGATCAACTCCTGAAAACGAAACGCTGCTCTCAACCCCTCATATACAAGATTTTGAAGAATCCTTAACATATTATTAGCAAATCAAAATGAAAACATGAGACGAATGTGATGCTAGCTGATGAAAGAAATGAGAAAACACGGTTTACATACAAACGCATGTAAGGTACTGCAGGAATATAGGTAGTAAAATAAATAGGCCTAAATTGTCTACGAACGTCCTTAAAATATTTATAATGCCGACGAAACAGTTGCCTCGAGATGCATTTTTATTTCAGACTGAAAATTCTAAAAGATGTAAAAATGAGATGATCTTATGGCCGTTTTATGCTGCTTCAGTATGTGTCAAAGAAAAGAAAACTATGATGAAGCGAAGAAAAACGAACTCCGATGTTTTAAAAAAATGTAGAGTTTACCAATAGACCATAAATATAATTCAAAAACTCGAAATACATCTTTAACTTTTAATGAATACTTTTTCGAAATGAGATAACCAAGTTGAAGAAAGATATCCTCCTGCGTATTGATAATTGAACAGCTCACAGTGTAACTGTCGCTCTTAATGTGATCACTGGAAAGCTATGAAAGAACATTATCATCATGAAATGAGTGTTGGAACCCTTTATAGCATATAGGATACGGATATAAAATCAAGAAAACAAGGTTTCTTGATGTTCTGCATCATTTGTTGACCATATCTTGAAACCGCGTCTCAGAAAAGGTTTTAAAAAACTGTATGCCAACCTTTTAATAAATGATAAAAACGAGAGCTCTATGATTAAGAGTACAACATTGATCAAGTAATTTCCAGGAACATAAACAATTCATAAGTGAACTTTTGCGTAATAGTTGCAGACAGTCAACTGTTAATGACTTTTCCCTTCTGATTGAAATCCTGAGAAAGTAAGTATTTATGTTTTTAAGCTATGTCAGTTCAATCCCGTCGATATTTTGAAGGATATTTTTCCCATTTGCTTAATATTATCAAAACAATCATGGACAGACATGGTCATATTAAGCGAAACCTCCTGTAATTGTTTTATGTACCTTTCCAAGGTATACTAAAAATAAAAGTATTCTAGGGAAATAATGAAAAAATATTGTTTACTCTTTGCTAGTTAGAGTAAGAATATTATGAATGAGTAGACGAAAATTTAATTAAGAAATGTGATTATAGAAACAAAGATAATCAAATAGTCTCTTAATTGCTATAAAATTCCGACTGGCATTCAAATAACTAGAATATTGTAGAATTCCTTCCCCCTCCCAA